TTGCACAAAAATCTGCTCTAAGGTGTGATTGGTGGTTAAACATACATAACTTTTTAGGAAGTTTGTTTTATGCAGATTTCTTTTTTTCTTTTTTTTTTTTTAAGTCTGTGAAGCTGTTATTGCAATGTTTTAAAATATTTTAATGCAATATAAAGGAACTAAGTATGATACAACTGAAATAACCTCTTCTTTTACGCACAACTAAACTGGAAGCACATCACTGTCAAGGTAGCAATGAAACAGTCCAGAATCGGTTACAGAAAGTAAACATTGTGCTGGGACTAAAGTGCACTAGAGCAGGGACAGTTTTCCTGCTGTGATTTTAACCAGTCTGTCTTTGTGGCATGATATTTATGCCAGCATCTTTGGCTATCCAACTAACTGTCCAGGTTGTTTTTTGGCTTGGGATGCCAGAGATGCAGAACATACCTAAAGCGTATCACTTTCAAATAGACAGAAAATTTATACTCTATTTGTTGGGCATAGACCACACATGAGACGAGACTGTCTGTAAACAAACAGGATGAATGTAACAGAATACCCAATCTTATTCCTGTCTGTCCTATTTTGTTTTGTGATTCTGCTGAGATGTTTATGAAGCTTTAATTTCAGTTACAGATGAAGTTATGACACAGGGTTTAATGCAACTCAAATTCCTATGACTAGTAAATCCTTTGACTGGTAAATCATATCTGGTGTCATATCTGTGACTGCGAATAGAATACAGATTTTTACTTGCAAAAACATCTTTTTTTCAAAAGTTTTTTTTTTTTAAACTACATAGCCTGCCTTTTTACATAATTCCCCAATGTTTTTATTTGCATCTTGCCTCTTGAATGTCACGTGATCTGAAAGCACAACAGTCTCTGCTGACAGACTGTCCCGTCCCGGCGCAGCTCGCTCAGGGAGAGAGGGGTCAGAGCTGACGTGTGCGTGTGACCCCCGCTCTGCCCCAGACCAGAATAACAGAGTTCTGTAGACATTAACCTCAGCTAACCTCTACCCTTCATGAGCCCGCTAAAAGTAGAAATCACTGCAAACTTATGCATTTCAGAGTCTAAAAGTCAGTGCTTTTCCATTGCCATATGTTGTAGCTCTACAACATCACTCCAACTTTACTCTTGTATGTGCATATTTGTCCTTCACGTTGTTGGATACATTAAACATCTTCATGGAGACAATCAGGTGGCGCATCCTCCACCAGGGAAGTTATAGTGCAGCTTTAACCCTGAACTAGAATATAACATTAGTTTTCCCTTCTCTCACATTGTATTACCACATAAATACATTATTACCTCTTATGAGTGTGACTAAGTGAATGAGACTTGATGGAGATGGTGCGACTCCTGGAGTATGTTCAAGTCTGTGGTGGGTCAGGAGCATCAAAGCAAAGTGTGTCTGATTAAGCTGACTATAGTTTACAGTCTCAGCTCATAAATATGTGTCCAGTACGATGTGCACAAAGCTCTAGACCTGACTGTGTTTATATATCGCAGTTACAGCTCCTGTGCGTCCCTGTGTGCATACTGCATACTACATACCAGCTCAAAGTTCAGGAGATGTGTACACTGGCCCTCCGCACTAAGCCTTTCCCAGAAAGACTGTTGCCAGGCAGAGAAATTACCCAACAGGTCACTAATGGTCTTCAGTGACAAACTCATTCATAATCAGTCAAAACTCCTATGGGTAGTCAGCGCTCCTATGGCCAGTCTAAACAAATGTCTTGACTTCAATAACTCTGAAATGGCATATATGAATGAGGGTTTCTCTGCCTTCTGCATTGTAAATCCTAGGCCTATCACAATAACACACAGAGAAATACTGCAGTAAATGATAATATTGAAACAACCTACACAAAGCAGGACTATTTGAGTAAACGCATTTTTAAAAATACTGTATCATTAAAAGGTATAAATGGCAGAATTAACTAATAATTAGCCTTAAAAGTTATTTACTCAACCCTCTACAGCTCAAACCTTCCCCTGATACATAAAAATGGTAAACATCTCCTAACTATTGCAAATAAATTTGACACACAATAAAAACTGAGCCACAGAACACATTGTTCCAGCTGTGTATTAACTGTACAGTATTTATATAACTGAACTGTCTATTAGTGTTGCCATGATACCAATATTTCAAGCTCTATTTTGATACTAAGTAGTAAATGCGATACGATTCCAATACCACAATTATAATAAATGTTTTTTCAACATTAAATCATACTACTTTCTTTTATATAACCATGTGGCCTTCTATCTGTTTAACCCCTCGTTCGCCCAGGTAGGTTTCATCTTGATCCATGGGCGTACTTCTCCATGTGCTCTTAAACTTTTTTTCTGATACAGCTCAAGATCAATCTATAGCTTTTCAGGAAAGGTTAATTTCAATGTGACTTATTTTAGTATCGATACCAGTACAAATGAGTGTCTAGTTTCAATTAGTGTCTGATTTTTTGATACTTTTGAATGACCCTGTTTATATGCAATTTATGACTATTTGATGACATTTTGTAATATTCATCTACTTGTTGTCGTAACACTAGAAAGACATAAATGAGGACTGCTTTTGACTAAGTTTGTTTTACACAAAATCAATTGCAGGTCTCCTCTATTGCAAATAATTGTAAATATTGCAATATAAACTCTTCTGCTGTTAAACTGCAAATACTAGTAATGCTATTTTGATGTAACAGCCATTTGTTTAAAACAAAACCATCTACACTAACCAAAACAAAACCATTTATACTAGGCTGTTGCTTCTAAGATCTAAATTGTGCAGTTTTAATCACTTTCTATTTTTACCCTGAAGTCATTAGTACTGTATGTAACATGATCTCTCACCTAAAGCTTCATTGGTGGCAGCAGACTTGCATATGGCATACTCGGAGTTCCGCAAATTTTCTTATTGGAAGAGCTGTTACTGTAACTACTCGTGTCGTGTTCATATGACTCAGTACTGTGCTACTAACCGCTAGTGAGCTTATAAACACTGTGACTCTGGGTTTTGTCATTGCTATTTTACTACATAATGTAGAGAAATCAAGAACGCTATGGTAGGGCTATACTGAAATTGAGTTTTTGTGCATGTTAAAAGTTACTTGTTGTCTCCTGATTGTGTGTGAGAGGACAGCTGCTCTGTGTCGGTCAAAATCAGGGCCACATTCCCCACACGGCTCCTTTTTGTAGTTTCTATTACACACAGCTTTTTTGGATTCATAAGTCGCCCCCCTCGACCTCGTCTTGTGTGCAATCTTTGACAGAGAAACCTCCTGGCCTCTGTCAAGTTTTATGTGTTAGACTAGCAATTGTATTTTGGAATGGCACGCGATCGCAAGAAAAAGAAAGTTGTATGTGTCCTTGTCTCTTTTACAACAGAAAGCGTCTTACCTTTTATACTTGCAGGTTTCATGTTTTGGACAAAACTTTGGAAAGAAATTGTTATAGAAACTTGTAAAATATTCATCATAAGAACAGAAAACATTTAAATATTGTGTCAATATGAAAACTAATATCAAAATTAGGTACTCATTTGAGCAAGCATTGATACAGCAAAAAAATCACATTGACAGAACATCATCTGAGCTTTCCTGAACAGTTTTAACATGATTTTGAGCTTTATCAGAACAAGTAGAAGATCTCATAGTAACATAAAAAGTACTATTATTTTGTGTATGAAAACATTCTATTACTAAACAAGGAGCACTTTTTATCTTCACTGTGGCATCATAATTGGTCTCGACTTGAGTATTGACTATTGAATTCAAAATTTTAGTAAAGTTTTTACTATTGTAAAGTAAATGAGCCCGTGTTTACAGTGTGGTAAAAGTTATGAAATTCCTCTACTTATTTCCCATCTGCTGCCCATGTTCAACTAGGACAACGTACCATTTTAAACTTCACCAAAACGGACCCACTATTTATTAAAATGCGTTTACTACACTTTAGTAATAACCTTAATGACAATAATGTTGCTTGCACACAAAATAAGTCTGTTGTCTGTATTGTTTATTTTGATTCTTACTCTTGCTCCTCTAATCATGAGGCCTGGCATGTCCTCTCTCCCTCGGGACATCCCAGATCTGACAACAGTTAGGCAACACCCCACTCAGGAAACCCATCCCTCCTTCACTAGAAGCCATTACATTGCAACAGTACATACATGCACATACACCGCAGGCATATGCCACCCACTTCCAGCGCACATACTTTACTTCACCGGAAACATTAATTAGACTCATGTGTAACCGGCAAACTTCCAGTCAGCACGTAAAATTACTGCCAGTATCCATTTTAATCTGATTTTCTTATTAACATACATCGTTAGTTTCAGTGTGTAATTACTCACTACAGTAATTACAGACCTTAGGAAATCTTGGATGTAACTAAAAAGAACACAAACTTAGAGGTACACTGTGTAACTTTTTTGGTGGAGGGTCCGCTACCTACTTGTCTCCATGGGGATGTTATTGCTTTGTCTAGAGATTTAACCTATCTGTCATGAAGGAGACAACTATTGGCTGCATTACAGGTCAGATCTGTGGAGAGGAAATCCTGTTAACAGAGAGGATTATTGTATTTTTGTGTTTAATGTCAAAATATGGAACATTCCAGGCAAAGCAATAACATATGGAGAGAAGTATTAAGCAGACCGTCCACCAGAAAAGTTACACCATGCACCTTTAAAACACAACTTGAACTTGCGCGTACTAGGTCTCCAAAAATGATTTCCTCAATCGCATTCACTCCCTGTCGCCTTCATGGGGTAGTTTTGATTATGTTTCTTCCTTTCACAGTTGGAAAACTGTTAACAATATTTCTTCTTGGAACAACCATAACAGAGACAACGCTAAAAAACATCCCGATAACAAGTTGCGTAACAGTCGAGTCATTGTGTTTTTATCTTTTTAATGGAAAGCAAGCATCACCAGGTTCAAATTATGTGACAGTTGTGAAAGAAGACATAAAGATATTAAGCGCGGTCTGTATTTGTTGTTACAGGTGTGTGGCGATGTCCCAGGAAGAGGGGAGCCTTACCTGACTCACCCGGTCCAGAAGCTGCTTTTGTGCTGTGGACATGAGCACCTCAGGGACCCCGGTGCCTCCAGCCCCCTCACATTGTCTCTAAGCTCTGGGCCTGCATCTCATCCAATCAGGTTTGTACACTAATCATACATTTATAAATATGGCTAGCAGGTAGAGTCACATCTGTTTTAATTTAATCGTGTAGAGTATTGATTGTTTTTTAATGGCTTATTGAGATCTCATAAGTGTCTTTAGCAAACCATATTAGCTTTTTTATTTACTATTCTTATTACTTTCAGATACTGTTCAAGAGTTATATGCAACATTTTAAGCCTTTTTTCTCATTCAAAAGATACAGTGATTAGATTTAAAGTATTAATCGCTATAGCAAGCCATCCTTCTGAAACTATACTAGAGATTAAACCGCCTTTGACTGTCATGTTTTTTCTATACTGATCACAATTATTAACCTGACACGCATGCAAAACATTTACATGGGCTGCATTGGACTTGCCCTTATTTGATCCTGATTAGGTCCTGGATTGATCCTGGTTTGATCCTGGTTAGATCCTGGTTAGATCCTCATTAGGTCCTGGTTAGGTCCTGGTTTGATCCTGGTTAGGTCCTGGTTTGATCCTGGTTAGGTACTGGTTTGATCCTGGTTAGGTCCTGGTTTGATCCTGGTTAGGTCCTGGTTTGATCCTGGTTAGGTCCTGGTTTGATCCTGGTTAGGTACTGGTTTGATCCTTGTTAGATCCTGGTTGGGTATTGGTTTGATCCTGGTTTGATCCTGGTTTGATCCTGGTTTGATCCTGGTTTGGTCCTGGTTTGATCCTGGTTAGATCCTGGTTTGGTCCTGGTTAGATCCTGGTTAGGTACTGGTCTGATCATGGTTAGGTACTAGTTTGATCCTGTTTTTTTCCTGGTTGGGTACTGATTTTATCCTGGTTAGGCCCTGTTTTAGTGCTGAAGTGGATGTGGTTTGGTCATGATCTAGTCCAGGCCTAGGTCCAGGTTTACTTCTATGTGTGCAAAAGTGAACACAGTCATTTATCAAACTATGTTAGTGATCGCTCACTTGTGCAGTTGGAGAACAATAAAAAAGTGACATGTAAAAAGTGAGAATGATTTGTTTCTTTCACAAATTTACATGATTCCCTTTCTCCAGGTCGTACCGTGCCTGTAGCGTGCGGACCTCCGTGTGTTCTCTGTTGTCTGGAGCTCTTCTGGAGGCTACGGCCGCTGTCGGTGCCCGCTCCTCTCTGCCCCTGCCCCCGCCCTGCCCACAGAGTGCCAACTGCCACGCTGTGCTGAAAGGTAAGCACCAAACAAGATGTGTAAAAGAGGCTTCAACATAAGACAGATATAGTATGAGATGTGCATGTGTGTATATATATAGGGGAAATTTAAATCTCTTAGTTCAGATGTACATGCTACAATAACATACTTGATATGTATGACTAATTCACAGGACGATTAAATCTCCATAATGGGAAATGATCTCTCTCCCAATCTGACTACTTTAGTACTTTCTTGACCCCATTTCACTGCTTAAAATGTTATCTTTTGAAAGAAATCTACAATTATCAACAATCTGCATGAGTCATTTCCTCTGTAGCTATTACTGACTTTTCAATTCTTACGTCAAATGTCAAGACTATATCAATTTAACTAACAAAACAAACAGCAAACATAATGCTTGTCTATCTAGGCTGGCTGTCCTACATAAAAAATGATTTACATGGTTTGTTTTTCTGGAAAACCGTTTTCCGTAATGATGGTCTTTATTTTTCCATTACTGATAGAAGAGTATGAGTGTAATGCCACGGACATGGGGCTGAAGATTCTCAGTATTCCCCTGGGACCAGGTCTCTGCTCCCATCCTCTGTTGTTTTCCCACATGGATGCTGCTCCTTGGTCGCGTTTGGCCTGGACTTGATCCAGTGGTTGCCCGTTTCTTTTTTTTCTTTTTTTCTTTATTTTTTATTTTCATCTTTGTATTTCCTCTTTTTGTCATCCTCTTCATGTTGGCCTTTCAGAGCCGGACACTGGCTTGGCTCAAGTGGTGCTTCGCAGGGTCACTTGTGTCTTACCATCTGAAAAGAACTCATATGCACTTCAAACAAGATCTTAAAAAAAAAAAAAAAACATCATCAAACATATCTTTTTAAATGTAGGACTGAAAATAGTCAAGATTTGGTTGGTTCACTTTCAAATCATTTTACACAGTTATTAAGGTTGTCAGTCAACCAAACGTCCACAATAACTAAGCTAACTAAAACGTAATCTGATCCCCGGATAGGAATTTTCTCAGACAAATGTGAGGCAATGTCATTTTAAAATGTCCTTTTTTAAAAGGTTTAGCCAAAAGGACACACGGTCACTTGACAATGATATTATTACACATTATAATGTCTATCTACAATCCTCCATATACACATCAAAAGTTAAAAACAAGTCTAACCTCATGGATACACTTCCACAGGCAGTACATATCTGGTTCATGACGCTGTGCTCTGTAGTGTTACAGGAAACAGAATGGAGCCAGGCACGAGCTCAGATGGCTCCGCTGAAGTCCTGGCAAGAAAAAGATTTCTTAAAACGTACACACACACACACAATTAGCAGAATGACACACTCTTTCACTATGTCTAACTAGAGCTGTACAAAAGGGCTTTCAAATGTAACACTGTCCATTATGTCTTATGCATTTTCTTGACATTAATTATAGAAAAGACCCCCATGATGTCACCCATGGAAAAATCACAGTTTTCTTCCCCATTAGCTAAATATAAGTTGAACAATATCTTGGTACAACACATAACATTTTGTTGCATCTTGTGTTAGAAATAAGAACTAAAATTGGCAATACGTTTTTTGTTTGTTTGTTGGTGTTTTTTTCACTATTTAAAAAAAAAAAAAATGGTAGAAAGAATTTGCAATAAGTTACAGCTTGCTTCAAAAAATGATTCCATTTTCAAATAAAGATCACTTGTCCTATTATTTTCTCTGCTAAAATCTATGGGAGTAAATATGACATTAGTCTTTAAAATCGCACGTAAAAGCTACAGTTAAGACAATGGTTATTTTCTGCTGCGTAAAAGATAAGTGCTATTTGAAAAAGTCATTGGAGGCTTGTAGTTTACTCTTTGTATAGTAATATTTTTAAAAGCCAAATGTATTTTATTGCCATCAAAGTATTATTCCATCCCTTTTTGTTAAACCACTATGCATTTTTGTCATTGATAATATCTGTAGATGATGGAAACAAAAAGGAAAAACACTATATCTGTTTTTTCTATTGAACTCTTGTATATTCTGACGACATGTGTGCCACAGTAAATAACCAATTATCAACATGAGGAAGTGCATACTATATATCTGGTTATAGGTGCCTCTTTTGTATATGTGTTGAATACCTGAGTGACAGTCTTGGCGTGAGTGGATATGACGCATGTAGCAGCACTGGGGCCATAGACCGCTCTCTGACCACCTTGCGCCGGGGGTTATTTTGGAGTGACATCTATAGAAAGGCCTGAGGTGAAAGGTTACACATACTAGCTTTAAAGTCCTCTCCCTTTGTGTTTTGCAGCCTGCTTTCACTCTCCTGTACTTCCAACACACCTGTCTGGGTAACACAGATTTGTGGTTTATATTTGGATAGTTTTTTGTTGATGCGCATTGTTGATGTTTGTGTAGATGCAATGTACTTTCATAGTTACAATTGTGTTGAGATAGGTCAAGAGAAGCTTTTATTTACTATTGAAAATCTGTAGCACAAAAGGGAGGAGAATGGGTTAGAATAATGGCACTTCTCTTCATAATAATTGCGTAACATTCAATAAAAGGCTTTGGGCATGTAAATATTTTTTTCTTTGTTGCATATGAATGGTGGTATGTGATTATGTGATTGACGATGGGAGATCAAATAATGTAAGAAACTGTGAAGTGACTTTAACCGGTTAGAAAGGGAAAGAGAACACAACTATTTTTTCGTTTTGTTCGCCTTAATCCCCCTGTATGTTTTTTGACATGTGAGATTATTTTTCCAAGATTCTTAAACAAGATTCAAGATTCAGACACTGAAAACTTCTCATACTCATATCCTCTTTGTGGAAGAAACTTTTTGTCAGAAATTCTTATTTTTCTGTCCACACTGAATTCCCTAAATCTGAAATGAAATAACAATAACGTTTATACAAAGCACAAACATTGTTGGCTGTGGATTGTTACTTGGGTCACTAAAATCCACTAATCCTGAATTTATGTTAGGGGAGGCAATTTTAACAAAAACTAATTTCTCTTTTTTTTTCATTTTCTTGATAACAGTGATGCACATGTGCCTGTAAAGTTCATGGCTGAGGTTCAAGTTTAGCTCAAAAAGTGAATGAACCCTAAAATGAACCAGGGGCAGAAATCTCACTTTATATCCCTGTTTAGAAGACTGTACTAGAATCTGCTCCTTTTGATCGTATTTTTAGAAGTTTTAATAAAAAATGTCATACTCAATATTCAAATTTTGCAAAAAAAAAAACAATTGTGGTATTATAATTTTTTTTTTTTTCTGCGTATCTCCCACTTCTTTTTGATCTTGGCTTACATGATTTTTACCCCACATTTGCAGCATAGCAGTAGCTGTGTGTGTGTCCAGCGTATCTACAGTATTTGCGTTGAGGGCGTGAGCGGCGCTGCAGTGGGCCGGCCTATCCGCTCCCCCTGTAGGGCACGGCTGTGAACTGTCTCTGGTGTCAGCAAAGAGAGGGAGGGCCTTGGAGGTGGAGGGCGAGCAAGCAGTAATCTGAGCTCAATCAGGGACAAGCCCCAAAGCGGCCAACCTCGAACCAGCTGAGCAGAGCAGAAGACAGTGGAACATGGGGGAAGAGAGAGGGAGTGAGAGAGGAACTGTGTGAAAAGACGCCTCCAATGTGGACCTCTATAGTGTTGTTAGTGTGGAAGCATGAAGCACCGAATGGACTTAAAGCTGATCAGTGAGTAACCCATGTGAGTGGTGTCTGCTGTTTTCTAACAGGACTCGGACAGTGCGCTGTCAAGCCTAACTTTATTAAGAGTGATATGAGCACCTTGTAGTATACTCATCTTATTGATACTGATCTACTTTGTTTGTTTCTTTGTTATGCATTTGATAACATCTGAAATTTGAACTTCTGTTGTCTAACATTTTATAATATAATAATACACATTTATTAGCCTTAAAACATGAAAAAACAAAAACAAAACTTAAATTAATCATGAAATAAACAATAGTTTATTAGAATGATTTAGGCTTAGCTAATTTAACTAAGGAGTTAGGGTTAGGGTATGAAGTAGGTACTTATTATGGCTAGTACAGTGTAGTCATTATGAAGTGGTACCTTCTATTGTAACTAAGTCCTACTAATTTTAAAAAGCACTATTACTTAAGCTATTCTTCACTGATTTTAGGGTTTTGTGGCTTAAAGGGGGAAAAAATTGCACAGAGCTATGTACTAATGTGTTTCTTTTGGGTAGTCAGCACTTTTCCTGTCTGTTGTATCTAAGAGTTTGCAGATAAATTCAGAACTGTGTAGCAGTCTTCCCGGTAGGAGATGGGAGTGAGGTGCACTCTGGCCTTTTTCATTCCACAAACCTAGCAGCACCACTCTTCACAATTTCTTATACTTAGGGCAACTTGGTATTAAAGTAATCCTGCAAATTCTTGCCTAATTCCTCTGCTTATGTAGTAGCACTGATGACATTTGCAGCTTTAACATGTATTTTGTATGGCCCAATCAGCGGTTATTGTTTTCGGAATACTTAGAATACTTTCATATTAAGTTGCATTATTTTATAAACAACGAAGCACTGCTATTCATTCCTTTTGATTTAAGGAAAGTGGTAACTGTTTTACTGGAGCAGTCACTTAAAATTACTCAGAAACTTGTCTTGTTAAGACTTGACTAAAGTTTTATAAATGACTGTAAAGTGGTAAACAATTTGAAACTAACAAATTCTGAAATCTTTGTTTGCAACATTTGTTTTTCATAGCACAGTTTTAGTGTATATTTTAAGCCCTTATAAACTGTCCTTCCAAGTGTAGAGATTCTTAACAAGAGAGTCAACCTTACCTACAAACTTAAAATTTTCTACCTGTAATTTGGAACAGTACAGGTGCTTCAGACCAAGGGACTGTATGTGATATAGCTGGTGGTTGTCTATGGTCAGACAGATCAATGTTTATTGTGTGTGGATGTCTGACAGTTTATAATAAGCCCATACACAGTGTCCCGAGTATTTCTGCTGGAGTCTAGACATGTCATTCTGCCTGTCAGCTGTCATTTGTATGCACTTGTGATGTGTATAGTATTGTGTATGTGGAAGTTGTATCGGTTATTATGTCCCATTTCTCTACTTTATGATGATGTTGAAATATTTTAATGGACTTTTGACACAATAAGTTCAGTTAAATTAAATTAAATAGTGTACAGTATTCAAACATGTCACAATAGAAATGAGTGAAACTCAACAATGCGAAATTAGCTCAGTTGGTAGAGTGTATGTCCACTGATCCAAAGGTCGATGGTTCAAATCCTGCTCTTGACATAAAACATCACTTTGATTGCCACAGGTTGATAGTGTGATTCTAGCTCCCACAAATTAATGTAATTGTGGCCTTAGACAAGACACTTAACCCCCCCTTGCCCCCAGTCTTTGTCTACACCTAGTGTGTAACTGTGTGTTAATGGGTGAGTGAATCCTTTATGCAAAGTCCTTTGAGTCCCTTAAAGGTGGAAATATATATTTTATATACTGTATAAAAACTACACACTTGTGTTATTATTATATATTATATTATATATTATATATTTCTTTTCTCATAATATCAAATATTGTGTTTCCAATATTGTGATACAAATATTGTTGGAATATATTGTGCAGCCCAAACACAATTTCATCATCTAGAAAGGAACATATTTGATCACTGCAGCCAGTGATAATGAAAAACTACTATGAAACAGTTCTGATTGGTTGTATTTATAGACTACAGTCAGTGTGCTAAGTGAGTTTATTTGTGATGCACCTGTTTAACTGCCCCACATTCTTCTGAGGACTTTGTCATCAGCTCTGTGTGTGTGTGTGTGTGTGTGTGTGTGTGTGTGTGTGTGTGTGTGTGTGTGAGGGTGTATGTGTGTGTGTGTGTGTGTGTGTGTGTGTGTGAGGGTGTGTGTGTGTGTGTGTGTGTGTGTGTGTGTGAGGGTGTCTGTGTGTGTGTGTGTGTGTGTGTGTGTGCATAGTGTATGCTTCAAAGAGGAACACTGCCAGTGGTTTGTGTTCATTATTCTGCATTTTACATTTTGTCTTATTTGAGAAGTAATGTTATCATTTAAACTTTTCACAATTATTGACACAATAACAAAAAATATGAAATAATTATTCAACTTCCATTCACACTGTCATGGCCATATGTTTAGTATGTGACATAATACTAATACTGACATCCCTTTTTAGTATTTGTACAATGGGCATATAGTACATCCTGATGTTCCTAAATATTTATGTAGGGACCAGGCTTGGGACCAGGAAAAAATACTTTATTTGAATAATACAGTGTCTTGAGTTCAAAGTAAACTAAATATCGCCTTGTTATTTTTGTCTCAAGTGATTACAGTTGGTTTAGTAAGGAAAATAAATCTGCTGTTCTTTTCAAGTTAAAATGTAAGCAAGTCAGCTGTTAAAAGGGATGTTCAGGTTGTTGGCTGCGTGTTTTGAGGAGGTAGCATTATAGAGATATGCCACGCCCAGAATCCCGCAGAGAACGGAATAGAGCATAAAAACCAAACAAGTGAACTCATGGATATAAACGATTTGAACCATTAGCCCTGATCCATGTTCACCACAGAGACCTGCTTTTACAATTCTACTCACATGAGCTGCAAAACATGTTTGAAGATCGTCTGTATCTGTAGAAAATCAGTATTATGTTTCACTCACCTGTATTGGTTACAGGGAGGAGGCCTACTCTAGCACTACTACCTACTACGCATGAGTGAGTGAACAAGAGGATGTTTATTCTAATGCACTGTGCCACCTGCTTGTCTCCCTGCAGATGTCACTGTTTTGCCTGGACTGTTCCCCAGTATGGCATTAAATGTACCTAGTGCGTATATTCATAGGCGTTTTCAAAAAGGGAAAAAAAAAAAAAGGATTTCCTTTCCACAGCTGACTTGTAATCTCCCCTGGTGACAATTACCATTTGGAGAGATGGATACATTTAATAACATATGATGAAACATTCAAGACAAAGCAGTGACACCTCCATAGAGACAAACAGGTAGAGTACACTTCAACAGAAAAGTTGCTTAGTATACCTTTATTTTATGGTATTCTTTTCATTATTCTTCCTTATTCTCATCATTTTATGTAACTTATTACTACTTTAATATTTAATTTTAACACTACATTTACTTTAAATACTTTACAGTAATGCAAGTTAAAGATGTCTTTTTTTACACTAGGGAGATAATTCAAAACACTAAAATAATTTAGATTTCTTTATTCGTTTTAGGTATACAGATTTTGATTGTTCAGACTTGCCTTGAGTCTCATTCTGTCTACCATGTGACACATACTTACAAATAACAATTCTTTACAAAAGTAGCTTTGATTTTTGGCAGTCAGGCAATGCAATCTTTAAGCTAATCTGTTTACAATCACATATTTCTATTCTACTGACTAATTACTACTGTATTATTCTTTCAGCCTTTCTATTGTACTTGCTTTTCATACACAGAATTCATTACAGATGCTGCCCTGCCACATCCACAAATCAAAGCGTGTAAATGAGCAAGTTTTCACGTGTGCGGCAGCCATTGCTGTTTCTATAGCGACCTGTTGCTCATCTCAAGGGTTACCAAGGACAACCTTTAAGTGTGTCTCTCTCTGCAGACTGGTCCAGCTGCAGTTTGTGTGTTTAGCGGTAGAGGCACATGACAGTTGACAATGCACAGACTCTGATTTCTGGAGTCCATTGCATTTTGCCACTAGACCTCTTTGTCTTCATGCTATTGTATATTCTAAACACTGTCTAAATAATAGACCAGGACAGTGTAACCTATAAATATAACATAAACACTTGTTCTTTAAAACATCTAATGTGATAAGTCTTTATAAATTGTATAAATTGTATAAATGGTATGGCTGTGTATCTATCAAACTATAGTCTCTTATTGATGTATTGAGCTGGTTAGTTGTAATGCTCTTTTGTATTATTGGAGAGTAAACAGACTAATGGGATTGAGTGGAATCCAAATAGTGGAAGTAGCAGGTGATCAATGGCTTTTACCTCCAGTAAACTCCTCTGTAACACAAGGCCTTATGGGTAGTTATGGATAGTAGCATTTGGTTAGCGTATAACATTTAATAGTTTTATTGCTTGAGTGGAGATGGGAGGCAAATAAAATTACTGTTGTTAATAATGGATGTTGCAATAAAGCAATATATATATGGCCTGGTCATTAATTTAAATGATCAGATCCAATATTTGTGGATGTTTCTTATGCAAGCTGGTTCTTATTGCCCCCCAACTGGAAGCATGACATCAGAACATTTCCAGATGTGAATGTCATCAAATAGCTTTCATCATTTTGCAGAATGTCAGTCATCTTAGTATTGCATCATGTATGACTCAGGACTGTCAAAAATATTAAAATAATATTTTTTGGGTCCATAGGTGCACTATGTAACAAGTCACCCGCTTGTCTCCATCCAGATGCTGTTGCTTTACCTGGAATGTTCCCCAGTATGCCATTAAATGTATCTATTGCATACATGCATAGCTGTTTTTATTACAAAGAAATAAAAATAAAATCCTGAAAAACACGCAGTCTTATTATAAGCAGCGTTTCCTTTCCACATCTGACTTGTAACCTGGCCTGGAGACAACTTCTGCTTTTCTCCTTGGAGATGGATACATTTAATGGTGAAACATTCAATGGCAAAGTAAGAACTCCACCTTAAAGACAAGATGATACTATACACTTCACCAAAAATGTTGTGTTATATTATTAATTGATTGTATTTCTTTCTTTTTGGAACAAAGTCAAAAATGGCCTGATTTCTGCCTAGCTTTTGGTGGCACAGTCCATCCTAACGCCACAGGGAAACTGGAGAAAATTTGTAGGATTGAATTGGACCTCTCCTGAGTTCTAACATATAGAATATCCATATTTGAAGTATTTGTTTTTAATTTGTCTTTTTCTTGTTTTTGTTCCTTCCCCAGAGCGGCAACTGGCCAACAGCATGACCAGCAGCACTCTCCCTCCCAGCGTTAGTGGCATCAGTAAAGAGCTAGCTGACCTCCGACCTCTGGTGCAATTTCCAGAAGAAATCGCATGTATCCTCACCGAGCAGGAGCAGCAGCTATACCAACGGGTTTGTATTTTAAATGTCATGTATCAAATGTGAACAAAAATAAACCTTATTTAATACAATGCATATGTTTACAGGTATTTCCCTTGGACTACCTCTGTTTCCTCACTCGAGACCTTGGCAGTCCCGAGTGCCAAACTAAACGCCACCGAAACCTCAAAGCCACACTGTCTGCGCCCTCCATGCCTACCCAGAATGCCATGCGCACCAATGCAGTGGAGGATTTGGTCGCACGCTTCAATGAGGTACAGACTAAAACTTTAGAGCGAGCTACATGAAGTTTACAATGCCATTTATTCTCACAACCAAATCAAAATAGAAATCACAGCAAACCAGGAGATTACCCGCGGTAGTTTTGTATTTAGATCTGCATGTACATTTTCCTGCTTGTCTCCATGGAGATGTGATTGCTTTAGCTTTGCCTAGAATTGTCCACCGTATGGCATTACTCACGAAGACAAGAGAATGACTCCATTCTTTGACTCCTAATAAAACATTTGACTCAAAATAAAACACCAGTAATTAAATAAATGCCAGATACATTTAATACTACATTCTAGGCAAAGCAATTACTGTAATCCATGGGGATGAACAGGTATTGCATCCACCACCAGGTAATGTACATAGACTAGTGACCCTTCAATTATTGGCTTTTATTCATTTTTCCTGTACAGTGACTTAAACCCACAGGCATCTGAAAAGTAGAAAAATAAGATTGATCAGTAACGCATTTCTCTACAGTCTAAAAAGCCATGTTAATATTTGTGGAGCCAGTCAAATTGAATGGCTAATGAGTGAAGGGCATGTTTTTATGAGCACCGACTAAAAGCATCACAACACTTGAGGCTGTGAGAGAGAAAGTGAAGATCAGATTATGAGTGGGAATGATGATGTCATCTTTAAGTTGCGTGCCGCTCACATCAGCTGGTTTTCATTTAAGTCAGCGAGGAGAAAGACACACTTTTGGTAATGTGTACGCAACCTTATATGGACACGCTGAAACCCGAGTCGAATGATAACAGCAATGCTTTGAGAAGAAGTAGTTTAAAATTTTATACCTCGTTGATGTTAGAATATATTGTGAGTTATATCTGCGAATACTACAGCTGTGTGGTAATGCGTTCCAGTTTTTGTAGTGGACATTTTAAGTGCCTCTTGTGAATGGCGTCACTTTTCCTGACTCCAACCCGTCTTTAAGGATGTTCCGTCATAATTCTTAATGCTTGGATGATTTTTGATAAACTGCGCGTACACATTTTCAACCCTTGTATGGAAATAAATTATAATGTGATTGGAAACAGTCTTTGCGAGCTGTATAAAGTGTTTAGCTGTAACGCGCAGTGAAGTTTGGAGTTTCCTATCAACCTTGGTTATGTAATACATGAATCAAGGAGAAACTTTTGGCTCAGTCAAACTCATACACACAGAGGAGGCAGACAGACGGGCAGACAGATGGACATGGACATCAAAGGCTATCAACTTGTACCAGGCTCAAGATATGTGCCCGCATTTCAGCGTCTTATCCGCCTTTTCTTTTTACTATTTCTACACACTGTATTTGATCACAGCTTGCTCTCCTTCATTAACACTCTGTCACCACTTTTGTTTGCCTTTGATTGTCTTTGCCACACAACCCCTGCGCAGTCATGTCCACTATCTGGAATATCACGAGCAATGCCAGCTCCTTGATCTGGTGCATTTGAAAAAGCCACTTTACAGATGGTCAGGATAGTTTTGATGGTGACTGTAATTTAACCCAGTGGACAGCGAGTTTTCCCATCATGTCATATCAGCAGAGGTCACTGATGTTCAGCTGGACAGGCACAGAGCTGCTAGGAATAAAGTGGTAGTACTCGAAGGGTTAGGGTTTCAACTTAGAGAATTTTATTTGTGTGTCATTCCAAATCCAGTATGTTGAAGTCCTCTCTGAGATGTAAAGCCTTATAAGTCTATCTCGTCTAGTGATGGGCTGTCTGTCTTTCAGAGACTTGCTATTTTGGATCAGAGTCAGGATAAAGAGTTTATATAGAGCCTAAACATCCCCCTATATATTACCATTCTGAGCATTTTAATAATAATAAGTTTTGCCTTTTATTTTTTCTCACCTAGCCCGTTCCAAAATCTCTCAAAACCAAATCACTTATTTAAATAGATTTTTGAAGGCAGTAATCAATAATAGTACTTAATTGTGACTGAGGCCAATAAAATGATATTTCAGCTAAGTTGTGTGGGTTTTGGCAGATCTGAGTGAGCAGGAACAGAGCCAATCTAATGAGAATCGGCTCTCCTGATTCACAACAGTCTATAACTAGTCTAATCTTAAATAGCATATTTTGATGACACTCCCTTCATTTGGATAAAATCAGAAAATTTTGTTTGGTTTCCTTAAACTTCAAGGCTATTTTATGTGCGTTGCCTTTTCTAAATCAGACAGATATTCTTTTATGAAACACTGACTTTATATTATTTAGAGTAGACAATGTGTTTGTGTTACATAGCGCTGCTTACATAAAACTCACATATGTGGGGACTTGGTCATATTGTGTGTGTCCTGTTGCATGCTGCACCTTTGTGTCTTTATTTAGTCACTGTTAAATTGCTCTGGGGGCTGAGCTGATCCTTACATAACTCTGTAATAGATCTGGGGCCAGGGGGATGTTTTGGAGCCTGAGAGGGGTTAGTGAGTTTTGACACTGTGTATGGACAGTATGTGCATAGAAACTTTTGTAACAGTCGCCTGAAATCAGACTCTTATTTTTTTTTCTCTCAGTCTGGTGTAAAGGCCCATGACAGAAAGTGATAAAGGAGCTGACCTGCATATCTGTTTTTTCTGGCTCGGGTTGTAGTTTGCGTGTGCTCGAGGGCAGTCAGCGTCGCGACAAAGCACAGCCGCTGGGTATCTGATCTCATTCTTTCTGGACTGTGTCACCATGTGGTCAGCGGGCAGACCTCTGCGCATGCACTGCCTCTTAGACACAGGTGCAGGTATCAGAGAATATAGAATGATGCAACCTGGACTTCAGTACTGGAGGTCAATGAGAACAGTGCAGTTTAGTGAGGCAATTTAACTGATTTATGTTAAGCTCCACCAACCATGTAAATGTAGGTAGGTGATACTGACAATATAAATTGTCTTGATTTTTGGGGATTATCTGGATGACAGTATTCAGATATTATGAAAATGTCTTAGTTGAGGTTTAAGTCCATTCACACAAAATGCGAATGGACGGCAAAAATAGAAGTGCAGAAAATCACATTATAACCTCGTTTGAAAGATTACACTGCAAGTTCAGTAATATAATACTGTATACATGATCTTCTAATTTTGCCTATTTCTACAAAAACAACTGTGTTAACTATACAAAACTACTTTTTATCTGTTGATTGAAAGTCATAGGCAAAAAAGACACTTTGACATTTGCTGAATATATTATCTGAATCACAGGATGCTAATGAGGATGTTTATTTTGCATTTAAATGTACAGTAGTTAAAAAAAGTATGTCAATGCACTTCTAGGTCAGTTCATGGGTGACATGGCTGGTCCTCACAGCAAGTTCAATGGAGGAGAAGAGAGAGGTTTTCTCCTATCTGGTGCATGTGGCCAAGTCCTGCTGGAACATGGGCAACTACAACGGTGTCATGGAGTTTCTTGCAGGGCTAAGGTATCACAACTTTCACTTCACATAAAAATAAAACATTTTGAATAGTGTGGTAAAATAATTATCATAAAATACTGTTGCTTGGTAGATCTCGCAAAGTTCTTAAAATGTGGCAGTTTATGGACCAGTCAGATATAGAAACCATGAGGAGCCTGAAAGACGCCATGGCACAGCACGAGACTTCATCTGAGTATAAGAAGGTGGTGACCAGAGCGCTCAATATACCTGGATGCAAGGTATCTAAAGATCTGTGTTATTCCAATTAGGGCACTGTAATCAATTAAATATGAATCAAATTAACATTTTTAATAGAAAGGTCTAGAACCAATAGGAGGTCCTAAAATTAATAATGCGGTTTGAAGTTCCAATTTTGGCACTTGAATGGAACATTTATGAAATTAAAGAGTGAAAACCATTTTGTTGTTAAAAAAAAAATAACTAAATGAAATCAAACCACAAATTGTGAACAACTGCAATTACTTTTTTTGCCATGTTGGTCAAATTCAGCTTAATTATCTACAATTATTCCTTATAAAGTACTAATAGCTAGACATAATGTTCTTTTCAGGTGGTGCCTTTCTGTGGAGTTTTTCTGAAGGAGCTCAGTGATGCTTTAGACGGGACGGCAAGCATCATCAGCCTGAAGCGAGATACCACAGAGGATTCACTGGAGGTTTGCACACGACACCTTCTTAACCTAAATAATAAAGCTAATTTAATAGTAAATAATGTGATGATAAGATACCGGAGGAGCGTAGTCTAGTTTTCAGTCCAGTTCAGTTGTATTTGTTTATTTTGTTTGTACAGTTTGTGTCTGACTACAGCGGCCAACAGAACTTCATGTCTCGCTCTGGACCAGACGGACTCCATGTTCCCGAAAAAGAAGCAACAGTCAGCAACATACTTCAAATCATCCGGTACTAGTATTTTTATTTTGTTTTTATTTAAATGTTTAAAAATCTTTCAGTCTCTAATATATTTTACTGTGTTTTTAGGTCATGTAATCGGAGTTTAGAGGCAGAAGATCCAGACGATGCTTCGATCAGTGGTTCCTCTGGTCCATCAGTGGCGTCCAGAACTAACTCTTTCAAGGACTACAACCGCAATCAGTCAGTTCTTTGTCTTTTCATTTTGTGAAATTAACATTTTTTTCTGATAAATCAGAGTAATCTTCCAAGTGACTCATTTCCTAATTTGTCATGGTTTGTGCATAAATTACGTTTGACAAAGATTGGTCTCTTTTATCCGGACAGGAAGTTTTCAGTAACCTGCTGTCTTTATTTTATTGTTCTTGGAATGCACTGGAAGAAGCCTGGATAGTTTTTGCTGTATTTATGGATACTTTTTTCCATGTATAATTTTTCAACAGCTGGGGCTGGAGGTGAATAGATAGTGATCTTTCTTTCTGAAGGCAGTTTATAAATGTTTTTTGTAGTACTTGAATCTGCTAGAAATGCTTCATTCCAATGTAAAAACACTTTAAAAGTGATTGGGAAAGTGTTGGAACTGATTCCTTATTCTTGTCATGTCGTTTAAATCATCCGTGTCATTATTTGTGTGTAAACATCACTGTTCTTCCCATTCTTCCCTCTTCCACTATAGTTCCTGTTCATTTAGGACCCCACCTGATTCAAACCGTGTCTTGTAAGTGGTTTAGCTAAAATGGCTATTTCATTATTACATAGGTTTAATTTGAAATAGAATTTGGTATGGTTGTTTTCAGTTGAAAAAGCATGATGTATTTGCTTGTTCATCCACTGCTTAAGAGCCCAGTCTAGTTTATTTGTTCTGTTTGTGCTTTTCTTGATTTTATTGCATTTGTAGCAAAACATATGAAAACGCTGGAAGAATGATGCATGGCGGATTTTATTCCCTGAAGAGAAGTTAAAAAGATAACACTTTCTCATGTCGATGCAGATTCATGGTGGGAGATTTGTCCGACTCCGAAAACGACTCCTCTTCAGAGCCTGTGCCAAAGGACGGGGACTGCCAGAGTAGTGAGGACGCACACAAAGCCTTCAGCCACAACACAGAGCTCATTCCCTGGTAACAAAACATTTAATAAAACTAAAACTATTGATAATTTGCAGCTAATTCATCAACATTCCCTGGGGGTGTGAAGCTAACTGAAAGCACTACTCTGTTAGAAACTTACTCAAATTAGACTTAATCTGAGCTTTATTTTAGCACAGTCTGGCTGATTTGGTTGAACGGGTTGTCCTTAAACAAATCCCTCACCAATAGCTAGCATTAGCCAATAGTTTTTCAGTCACTCTCACTTTTTTAGTTGAAAATCAAACAAAACATTTTGGGTTTTTTTTTCTCTCTATCTTAAAAAAAAAATGGCAGTTTTTGCTAATATGTACATCTCGCCATGTCCTGTCACCATTGGAAATGTAAACATGGTAAATATACCGCCAGTAGAAATACATGTATAACACCCTCAGTGGGATGTCACTTCAAAGTATCAATACAAATAACTCACATGTCTCTCTCTCTCCAGGTATGTTTTGTCTCTACAACCCGATATCCACCAGTTTCTGCTACAAGGAGCCACAGTGATCCACTATGACCAGGACAGCCATGGGACCGCACGCTGTGTTCTGCGACTCCAGCCTGACAACGTCACACTCACATGGGGTACTTACACACGGCTGCCTGAGCTAGAATCATGTTCATTATGATACTTTTATAAAACTGTGTAACTTTCCTGTCACCTGCTTGGCCTTGGTGCTGTCACTTAGGTTTATTGCTGTAATGTGGAACATTACAACTAAGGCAAAGCGTCTCCATGGAGACAAGCAGGGCAGAACCTACACCAGAATTTACCTAGTGTACCTAGTGTACCTAAAAAACAGCAGTTTTCCATGGTTAAAACATTGTCATTATCCAGTTTTTCCAGCTGTAAAAGTCTTCTATATATATATGCAATGTCTGCTCCTATATGTGCAGTGTAAACTACTTGTAAATGTGCCGACCCTGCTCAATTTCCTGTCTTTACTGCATTTCAAACATCTCATAAATGTGTTGAATTGCCACAGGTAAGCCTCCAAGCGGTGGAGGCTTTTCTTCTGAGCACCCCATTGGATCGGGACACTCCATTGCAGTGGGACTCGCAGAAGGCCTTTTGGACCTAGCAGTCGTCAAGGTTTGTGACCGTTATTTAACAGTGAAATGCATGTCCCATAATGCATCTGGAGTAATGTTTTTGTTTATACTGATGTGAATGTGCAGGCAGTATTCATGGGTCACCAGGGCATAGACATCCACGGAGTGTGTGTACAGAACAAGCTGAATCAGATGACTGTGGAGGAGAATGGACTGAGTCTCCTCTATGGGCTCAGTACCACTGACAACAGGTTAGACATTTCACATGAAGTTGCATGTAGATAAGACTGGATGATGAGGAAAATAATGATCAAGATATGTTTCCTCTTATTAATAAAATCTTTATAAGACAAGATAGTTTGCAATGTTACATTATTTTGTCATCCTTTGGGTTAGTCCTTTTTTATAACTAATAACAAATTGTGTTAATCTAATTTTATGCCTAGTTTAGCACTAATAAAGAAAATATACAAGAAAACTAGCAACAAATTCGCCCACCTCTAGTCACATGTGTTAAAATATTGACTTACTGCATGTATTTTACAACTGTAATGTCCTCTTTCTCCATCAGACTCCTGCACTTTGTTGCCCCAAAGAACACTGCACAAATGCTGTACAAAGGCTTGTCCGAGCTGGTAAATGCCATCCGAAAGTTAAAGAAGTTTCCTGATCAAAGACTGCAATGGCTACGCAGGCAATATGTCAGTCTGTATCAGGTAAACTATAAGGTTCTGCTTACTTTTCACTTCCACTGTTTACGTCGATGTATTGATTTAATGGATGTTAAAACGCATTCCTTTTTAATAGGAGGATGGCAGGCATGAGGGTCCAACTTTAGCACAGGCCATTGAGCTGTTTGGGGGGAGGAGGTGGAACATGGGCTCTGGTGGAGTGGAGAAAACGGCCGCACAGAAAAACAGTCATCTGGGAATCAATGAAAAGGCCAAGAAGAAGAAGAAGGTCCTAGTGCGGGTCAGTGCTGTTCATTTCACACCACATTTGGCTGTGTTTTGGACCATTTGCTCACTCTCTTCTCTTATGTCTTCCCCTTTCCGCTCACTGTACGGCCGGCTGCTGACGGATGGCTCTCTTATCTGTAAATTGCGTGTACCACTTACACAGGGAGACAGTGGAGATGCTACAGATGATGAAATGGTTTCAAGGAAAACTCGCAGCTGTAAGGAGGGACTGTATCGCAACGGGCCCGAGTCTGACAGTGTAGACCAAGAAGATCCAGGTAATACTGAAAGAGAAGAAATGGCTCAAATACAGTGATACGAAGTAAAATCCAAACAAATAAATGTTCTCTATGCAACGGTCTGCCCCCCACTTGAAGATGTTATTACTATGCCTACAATGTTCCACAGTTTAGCATTAAACTTGTACATCTTTGCATTTATTCAACCTCATACCTTGAAAAACATGTATTCTTACTGTGACTGGGTGGCCTCTCCACAGATCTGACCTGTAACTTGGGCTGATGGCATCACCTGCTTGTCTCCATGGAAATAGATAAGTTTAACAGTAATATCTCTTTGGAGGCAAGCAGGTGGTTGATGCTCCCCTAGAAAAGTTACTTGGTGCACCTTTAAACAAAGATCATTTCCTTACCCCACAGAAGATGGCTTCCCTGGACCCTTCTCTCTGTCGTCCAGTCGGAGCCCTGGGTTGTTGGTGTCTTCTTCCTCTTCATCCTCTTCCTCCAGTATGACTGGAGCTAGCCAGTCCCGGCCCCAGTCCTCCCCAATCCTGTCAGGGAGCACCAAGTCACAGCCTGGGTATGTAGGACAAAGTTTAATGCCATTATTTAATATCTGGATCACTTTGAACGTGTGTAAGATTAATCTAAAAGTACATGCTGTACATATTTGCCTATTGTTGTAGGGCGTGGAGCAGTCGGTCATGGCATGGCCGAGGAAAGGGCTGTTTCAAAGGCTTCCAAAACCTGATGATTTCTGACAGCACCATGAGCTTCATCGAATTTGTGGAACTTTTCAAATCCTTTAGGTGAATACCAGTTATGGTGATAGTATAGAAGTTGTATGTTTTGTAAAGCTTGTCTTTGACAAGATGACAAGATTTGTAAACCCTTTGTGTGTATAAATGTTGAAAACATTCATCAAATATTTGCCATGTCACTCCCTTTTGATATAACTCCTTTGTCTTTATCAACAAGTCAGTATGATAAAACAAATAAACCAAATGTTTTTCAAAGCTATCATGTCTGGGAGATTTTCCAAAGGATTTTCGCTAAAATATTTAGCTTCTGTTTTCTCTGTCAGAAGAAAGGGAGCTGTTTTTCCATGATAAGCAACGGATTATTTTCATACCAGTCATTCTACATTTTTAAGATTGTATTGTATTCTCTACTGCACTGTTTTCTGTACTGCTCAAGCTATTGTCTGAAATGGACATTAAGGACCTTCTATTTTATGCTCTTAGTTTTAACATACAATTTCCAATTTTGTTAAAGGAAGAAATGTTTTGATATTTTGTTGTTAACTTAATAAATAATTGACCTTTCTGCCTCTATTGGTTTGCAGCATCCGTAGCAGGAAGGACTTGAAGGAGCTGTTTGACACTTTTGCGATCCCCTGCAGTCGCTCAGGCCCGGAGACTGCACCTCTTTACACAAACCTCAAGATAGACGACAAAGACACAGGCCCGCAGCCAGACCTCGGTACAATCTGCACACTTGTTGATAATAAAGCCAAATACATATAAACAGTATTCCTTAACTTCTATACTTTCCTTCACTCCGCAGACTTACTCACCCGGAACGGCTCGGATTTGGGTTTGTTTATCCGGACCAGGCAGCTCATGTCGGACAACCAGAAGCAGATTTCCGATGCTATCGCAGCAGCCAGCATCGTGACCAATGGCACCGGGGTGGAAAACGCCTCTCTGGGGGTCTTGGGACTGTCCATCGCTCAGCTCAATGACTTTTTAGTGAACTGCCAGAAAGAACATCTAAGCTATGATGAAATTCTCAGCATTATTCAGGTTGGAAGATATGGGAATTATAACTATATACTACTAGTACGATTGATTTAAAGGGCCCATACTATTTTCTGATCTATGTTATTTTTATGATATTTCCTCATCAAAAACATCTTGAATTGTGTTTTCTTTTCATTCACACGTGTTTAACATGTTTAACACGCATATTCTTTCATTAGTTTTTTCTCAAACAGTTCCACCTTGTGATGTCATGTGGTAATACAGGAAGTGCTCCATGCTGTTTTTAAACTCCATACACTTTCACTTGAACAATTTGGATTATTTCAGCCCTGAACTTGACAAATTCTACTGAAGTAAAGATAAAATGTAGCTGTTACCTTGAAGACTACCGCTTCGTGACATCACAAGATGGAACAGAGCATTTTGAGCTTTGGAGATGTAGACAGACTAATAAGGCAGGCTTACTCAAACGTGTGAATGAAACAAAACACAACAGGACTTTTAAAAACTGTAATTTGTTATTGCAGAAATTTGAACCCTCTGTGAGTATGAGGCAAATGGGATGGATGTCATTTGAAGGATTTGCCAGGTATGCTGAAATGGTCTACTAAACTACACTGTAAATAGTTTGGTCGTATTACTGAAGATTTATGTTGATGATAGGTATTTAATGGACAAGGATAACTTTGCTTCAAGAAATGAGGAATCCCAGATAAACCCAGAGGAGCTGCAGTATCCACTATCATACTATTACATTGAGTCTTCTCACAACACGTACCTGACCGGACACCAGCTCAAAGGGGAGTCCTCTGTAGAGCTTTACAGTCAGGTATGCTACTCTGTCTTATTAGTTTTATGTTTAATGTTGGTGCTTATAGAAATGCCTTCTCCAGGTTTTACTGCAGGGCTGTAGGAGTGTTGAGCTGGACTGTTGGGATGGGGATGATGGGATGCCAGTAATCTATCATGGACACACACTCACGACCAAGATCCCTTTTAAGGTATGAACCCCCTTGCTTAATTAGAAAAAAACATAATGAACACAATTTTCTTTCAGGTATTTTAGCACTGTGTAACTCTTCTTCATCTGCTTATTTCCATGCCGATCTTATTGCTTTGCCTTGAATGTTCCACTGTATGGCATTCGACTTATGTATCTTGCATTTATATGATAACGGGTGTGTTTTATGCTAAAAATTCATTGAAAAACATGCATTCCTCCTGTGAGCAGTAGGAAGTAGTAGTAACCTGTAAAGTTCTGTGAAGTTCTGTTTTTTTGTGACTTATGTAACTTGTGTCTTTAATAACTGTGTATATACTTTCTCATTGTAGGATGTGGTAGAAGCAGTAAACCGCTCTGCATTTGTCACCTCTGACATGCCGGTCATACTGTCCATAGAGAATCACTGCTCCCTCCCTCAGCAGCGCAAGATGGCTGAGCTATTTAAGGTAAAAATAGACATATTGTTATCATTTAAAGGCTGAAAATCCATTACTGTAGTTAATACGTGCAGGAAACGCTGAAGGGCGCGTGTATTTTAGCACGACTAATACATCATCAAATATTATTGGGCTTTGATCTGATGAAACTTCCTGACACACCATCCTCCCAAAGGAACAGTTTGATAAAGAAATGTCTTTAATCTCAGCACAGCTCAGTGCCTCTGGTCTATTTGTTTGTTTTTGTAAATATAAACACATTTTCATACACTTTCGAATATGGTGTAATTATTTTAGTTGTCTAGTTTGAAGCCTTTTTTCTTTATAGTATTTACTAGTAGGGCTGGATGTTTAATTGCAATTGAATTACCTTTATTGGACACAGTAATCAAGGCTGAAATTCATTTGATTGTTTAATATCCTCTGCAGAGAGAAATTTATATTCTCTATATGATTCTGTTCTGTGCAAAACATTATAACCCTGTAGTTTAGACCTTTCTGAAGATTGTGATTCTTGTTTAAGCGTAGCAGTTTATATTTTACTCTTAAACTAAAATGCTCTTTTAAAATGTGATCTGTGAACTAAATCTTGAGTCACAATTCAAGTACGTGTTAGGATAGTTACACTTAATAAAACATTTCCAAAGTCATCACTGAGTCATCAAAATTTAAACCAAAAAAAGTTGTGATGAAACATGTTACTACCATAGAATCATACAGTATATTTTTTCAACTTGCTTTTTGAACTTTTCTCTAAATCCCAGACTGTGTTTGGAGATCGTCTCGTGACCCGTTTCCTTTTTGAGAGTGACTTCAGTGACGACCCCCACCTGCCGTCACCATGGCAACTTAGGGGCAAGATCCTGTTGAAAAACAAGAAGCTCAAAGCCCACCAGGCACCCGTGGACATCCTCAAGCAGAAGGTTGATCAAACATCAACACTCACTTATCAAAGCCCCATGCATAATTCATGTGTATTGTACTTATTATCAGCTTGTCCAGGCACTTTCAAACTGCACTAGTTCATAGAATATTTAGTAGTCTTCATAAAAGTGCTGTCAGACATTAATTATGAATGCACATCTACAGCACCATTTCCTCTCAGTTTACGGTGTAGCACTAACAAGACGTACCGCAGTGTTTACACTTAGATAGAAGTTGTATATATCCACTTTATGGACAGACAGAGATTATACTTAGATTGTGGTTGACTTTCTAAATATTTGTACTCCTGTGTCACTTTACAGGCTCACCAGCTCGCCCATATGCAAGCTCAGGCTAGCAACGGCTCACAAGGCATCCCGTCACCTGGCAACCATGCGAATGAGGAAGACGAAGAGGAGGAGGACGAGTACGATTATGATTACGAGTCTTTATCAGATGGTGAGAAATGTACAGTACATTCAGTTCTGAGCTGTATTCTCTTACTTCTGCTGCTCTTTTGGATGTTGGAACTTAAATCACACTACTTTCTTCTCTGTTGCCTATTTTCCTCTTAGCTGATGTCCTTTCAGCCTCTACTGCCTCCTATGGCCTTGAAGGTAAAAATACATGGCTTGGCGCAATTTCTAACTATCATCTTTTCAGATCAATTTAGTAGTTGCTCTTCCAACGTAAATACTACAATTACAAGTGTTTGTTTATTTGCTTTGGCAGTTTGAAAATATGCTGCATGTTATTGTTGTGTGTAAAGTGTCTCTTTGTTGGGAGCAATTTTGTCAGACTTTTGACTTTACTGCTGATGAAAGAATGTTAAAGGTGCACTCTGTAACTTTTCTGGTAGTCTTCTACCTACATATCAATGTTAAAATGCCATAGTGTGGAATATTCCAGGCAACATGGAGAACAAGCAGGCGGCAGACCCTCCACCAAATTTGCGTAGTGCAACTTTAAATACCATTACAAATACAGAGTGATAAAATGATGTGGTTGTTAGTGCATTGCTGCTGTCAACAGTGGTCCATGAACTTTAGCTCTACATGGCTTGTTTTTGTTGTTGTCTGTCCTCAGTTGCCATCATGTTTGTTATGTACTTATGATGGAGTGAGTCATTTTGTTTTATAGTATTAAGAAAGTTCATTGAATCCCAACAGAGTGCAATAAGCCAGTCCAAATCCATTCATATGTAGAAGTTTAGGGACAGATAAGCTGTCATCTTTACGTATTCTGATCTCGAGGCTTGGTTTCTCCCACGCAAACAGCACCTCCTGCTCTGCTCCTTTTGACTGTATTTGTCTGTGACCTCGCCCGTGGCTGGGCAGACTCATCAGGGAAACAAAACAAAAGCCATCTGGTTTCTCAGGCCCCGCTCTGCCCCTGTGCTCAAACGCAGACCAGGGGAAAGCACCAAGGCCCGTACAATCCCACAGCATCGTCCCAACATGTGCACTATCTCAGAAGAATAGAAGAGGCAGAGGACAACAGCTTTCATTCTGTTTTGTTGTGACATTCATTTGATGCCATGTTTGTTGCTAGACTATTGTGTTGCTTCACTGTTTAAAGCAGAGTTTGTATCTAAAGTTTGATTATTCTTTTGTGGCGTATGACTAGGGTGGTTATGCCAAAAGAATCAATAGGCAATATAAGGAAAATCATGAATGAATGACTTCTATTAACTACCATCTTTATCCTAGTGATAAAATTGAGGCTTGGTCTTATATACACTTTAATATGTCCTATATACACTTACATGCACAGATAACATCCTGGATGACAAACCTGAGGGGAAGAGCCCTGCAGAAAAGGAGGAGCACCCAGTTGATGAAATGCCCAAGAGGAAAAAGACTGACAGCACGAGCCAGAGCAAAGGAAAGGTAATAAAATGTTACTGGTGACTGTAGCTACATCGTGTGTTTGTAATAAAAAAGACAACTTTTAAACTGTTGCACCACTATTGTCCTGGTTCCTCAGCAGGTGTTTGACATGGAGCTGGGAGAGGAGTTTTATCTGCCTCAGAATAAGAAGGAGAGTCGTCAAATCGCACAGGAGCTCTCAGATCTGGTCATCTACTGCCAGGCCATCAAGTTTCCTGGTAACAATCCTCAACTTTCACTTTCTTACTGTCCCTTTTACACAAATAGTATATCGTAAATGGTACAGACATTAATGATGATCCGCAGTTAGTGTTAAGGGGTTTTTCACTGTTGTGACACATTTTGTATTTCAGTGTTTCCATTAATTTCACAATAGGCAATGGAGATAAATATTTTGTCTACCAATTTTAGAAGATAGTGCTTCTTTACTGTGGTGTTGTGAATTTGTAAACCTGATATGATTCAAAAAAAAAAAAAAATGAGTGATTTAAAATTACATATTTTTACTCCTTCAAAGTTCAAGACTCTTGCCCTTGCCCTACTTTTGCCCTTAAAACTGCAGCTTTTGTTTGACTCTAGGGATTTGAACATGAGTATATGAGTATGAAAGGAGTAGACATTTTTTTACTGCTTCTGAGAAATAAACATATGAAGTGCATAGTGAGATCATTGTAATTCAGAAATGATATTCTGCTATGTATTATTGACCATCTTCTGTGTCTTGTTTGCGGGGTCTCAGGCCTGTCCACGCTGTCTCCGACTGGCTCCAGTCGGGGGAAGGACCGGGGGAAGAGCAGGAAGTCCATTTTTGGAACTGCTCCCACTCGCTGCAGCACAACAGGGGAGGTCGTGGCACAGAACCGCACCCCTGGGAAAGGTAGGAAAGGCCAGGGTCTCATAATATTTCCATGCACTATAAAACTGTGGAAAGTTTTACCATTTTAACTCAAGAGATGGGTGAAATTGGAGTGAATTATTGTGTTGTTTATGGGTGGGCAGCAGCACTTAGGATGTATCCACATTTGTCCTGGTTTGGTTCTTGTTTGAGCCCAGTTTAGTCCTGATGTGGACTTGCTTTGGTCGTGTTCTAGTCCTGGTTCAGTCAGCCCCTTAGTGGTTGGTCAGTAGTTTTATTGTAGGTGCACAGAACCTTTTTATTATTGGGGACTTTTAAAGATAAAGGCGTTACTTTCTTGTTTGTAATTAAATGGTTAAGTTTGCCATTCTGTTGAACATCTCCATGCAAACAAGCAGGTGACAGACCCTCCACAAGAAAAGCTACACAGTGCACCTTTAAAAAAATAAAGGCAGTATAACATAAAGGTGCACTGTGTAACTTCACCAGATTCTCTCGATGGAGATGTTACCTTGAATGTTCCACAGTATGGCATTACACTTATTTATCTCTATGGAGGCAACAGGTGACGCCTTAGGGCCAAGTTACATGTCAGATCTATGGAGAGGCGAAGCCCACTTAGAGTAAGAATGCATGTTTTTAAGTCAACAAAAACTCATGTTATTGAGTAAATACAAGATGGATATGTTTAAAGCCACACTGGGGCATTCCAGACAAGCAGATGGTGAACCCTCAAGCAGAAGTTACACAGTAACTTGCATGTAAAATAACATTAAAACTATTTGTTATCAGTCCTGTCTGTTTACAATATTTTTTGTGTGTAGGTGGCAGTGAGCGTTTGAGTTGGGAGGAACAGCAGACTTCCCCTGTCCTTACCGCCCCAACATCTCTGAGCGCCATCATTCGAACCCCAAAGTGTTACCACATCTCCTCTGTGAACGAGAACGCTGCCAAAAGACTGTACCGGCGCTACTCTCTGAAGCTGATCCAGCACACGGTGGGCCAGCTGCTCAGGACCTACCCCGCTGCCACCCGGATCGACTCCACCAACCCTAACCCCCTGCTCTTCTGGCTGCACGGCATACAGCTGGTGGCCCTCAACTATCAGACAGATGGTGAGGATGCTTCAGAAGTCACGATTTTCAAACTGATTTACCGGGTTAGGTTTAGAAATGGTCTTATATAGAGATCAGGTGCAACATCGGGGCTTGGCGTAATCTCATTGGCCATTGTAATTAGATTTATTCAAGAATTACTAGCCTGACATTTCACTGGTCAGAATTAGGAGATGTTCAGAGTCTGTCACAATTCACCAACTTCCTTAAATTGACCAGTTCTGGGTACAGAGTCTTGGTCATTAGGATCAGAAAAGATTATACAAATACATGTAGCAGTTTTACTTTGTAGTTCTAATATAATTTCACGTTTTGCATGTTTTTGTACCACCCAGATTTGCCAATGCAACTAAATGTGGCATTATTTGAAGCCAACGGTGGATGTGGGTATGTTCTGAAGCCTGCAGTGCTGTGGGATCGCAGCTGTCCTCTTTACCGACAGTTCTGTCCAATCGAAAGGGATGTTGACAAAATGACTCCTGCTCTTTATTCAATTACAGTGAGTGAAACGAATGAAAAAAATTTATAATGAATATTTTATTTTCTGTAACTGTAGCTTGCTCACATGCCACGCTATGAGGTTTGACACACTATCATGCACTTATTAGTCCCATTAAAGCATGTTTAGACAGTTTTACTGCGAAGTGAGCTGCATGTGTTTGGGCTATGTGACAGTCAAGGAGGCCACCCACTTAACTAAAGTAAAGGAAATGAGAACTGGCCTCATAAAAGCATTTATTGCATACAGCTATCCAATGAACAATATTGCTCAGTGATTTGTTAAGTGTTTTCACTGATAAGCCACATTACATTTTCAGTTTTATCTTAAATTAATTTAATTGATTATGCAACTTATCATTTACATGGTGGGATATTTGTAAAACAAAGAGATGAATCAGGATGAATCTGATTTGTCTTTAATTACATGAAAATGCAGTTGGTGTTTTCCACCTGTGCGTAGATATCTGTTAATGAATCTAATTCGTGTGTGGGACAGATTGTCTCTGGTCAGAATGTGTGCCCTGGGAACAGCTCGGGAAGCCCCTGTGTGGAGGTGGACATTCTGGGCATGCCCGTGGACAGCTGCCATTTCAGAACCAAACCCATCCACCGCAACACACTCAACCCCATGTGGAGCGAGCACTTCCAGTTCAGTGTCTACTTCGATGAGCTGTGCTTCGTCCGGTTCTCTGTGGTGGAGAACAACAGCTCCCAGACAACTGCACAGAGGACACTGTCTCTGAAGGCCCTCAAGCTTGGTAAAATAAAACATCAAATCACATGCAAAAACGTATACATTATCATTTATAATCCTAAAATAATGTATGTCTCTGCTCCAGGCTACAGGCATGTCCAGCTCAGGACACAGCACAATGAGCCTCTGGAAGTGTCCAGTTTATTTATCTTCAGCTCCAGAACAGAGGAAAGTCCAACTGGGGGCGCCACTCCTGCATCCCTGGTTTGTATTCTATATTCCACATACACTGCCATTACAGTCTACTTGGGTTTGCTCGAATGTCTTCTATGTTGTATCTTGCCTGTAGCTCTTCAGTTCAGAGGAGAAGCGGTCTTCACAGCAGCACAAAGTGACAGTCCATGGAGCTCCAGGCCGTGAGCCTTTTACACTGTTCCCTGTAACAGAACTCACCACAGTCAGGCAGCTGCTGGAGAAGGTGTGTCTGCTGTGCTTTGTCTAAACTGTGTCTGTATAAACTGTGATTTAAGACCAGTGTGTAAATACATTTCTCCTGTTGCAGGCTGTGAGCTCCACAGATGGACCCTGTGAGTATGTGTTGTGTGAGGAGAAACTGCCTCTGTCCAAAGAGCGCGGAGCTGATGTGAAGAGATCTGCCCAAGTCCGGACTCTGGCACCTGATGAGAAAGTCCTCCGACTGGTCTGGAACTGGACCACAGAAGAGGGATATGTGGGGAGGCTCTGTCTGAAACTCAGAGAAGAGGTACTGCATTGCCTGATCTGTTATCTGTATTTTATGGGACCTAAATGTTGATGATAGTGAGTATAGTCTATGCCAAAATGAAAATGCCAGAGAGCTAATTTTAGTGGTCACAAGAAATTAAGTAAATATAAGAGCCACTGTATTAGATGGAGTAAAGTTAGATGTCTATGAAACATTAATCATTATCCATTTATTAGTGCCCAGAGTTAGGCAAAATGATACATTTACAATGATAATTGATCAAATTTGAGTTATGCAGCGCAATATGTATAATTTTAAAATTCTTGGCAGCTACTGGGAAGGGGTTGGAGAGCTACTGGTAGCTGCTGAACTACAGGTTAGAGACCTGGTCTATAGTCACATTAAAGCCTACATTTGTCTTAGTTGTTTTAGTCAGAAATGACTCGATAGCTTATAAATTTATGTGTGTAATTAACATACAATCAAGCCAAGTGAGAAATATTTTTGGCTGATACAGTGTGAAATGTATTAATCCTATGTCTCCCCCTACTGGCTGTGTTGGAAACACCACCAAACTGTATAGTGCCCAGTGTGTTGAGATGCTGTTTTTGTCATTTGAAAATAATAATACAAAATGTCATGTAAACATTTTGCAGAAAGCTGCTGATAAAGGCCTGTGTCCTGATGGAGAAGAGGAGCTGGCAGTGTGCAGCAGAGATGCAGGAGAAGATGACATGTTCTTTGTCCAGGTTCATGAAGTTTCCCCTGAGCAGCCACACACGGTCATCAAAGCTCCACGCTACAGCACTGCACAGGACATCATTACACAGGTTAATACACAGGAACAAGATTATTATTGCGATCTAGTATGTAATGTTAACATAATGTGGTCTCTCAGACTCTGTCAAAGGCCAAGTACTCCTGCAGTATCCTGTCCAACCCTAACCCAGGAGACTATGTCCTGATGGAGGAGGTCACCAAGGACTTAGTCTCCACAAAGAAGTCATCTGCATCTAAACCGGTGCAGAGAGTGCTCCAGGAGCAAGAGTGTGTGTACCAGGCACAGAGCCGGTGGCGCGGCACTGGGAAGTTCATCCTCAAACTGAAGGAGCAGGTAGCTCTGAGGGCCGTGGAGGAATTTAGAGAGAGACTTTTTATTCTATGTGTGCTTTGAATTTGAGCTGCTATCTCTGGCTCTGCTTATTGTCAATGTTTTGTGGCACTAACATATTCAATGTGTCAATATAATGTGCTTGTTTTATTTTAACTTGCATGGCAATTTTAACCTGCTTGTCTGCTTTTATGACTAATCTTGTTCTGTTGCCCTGTCTTTGCCTTATTTATATTTTTAGCCTAAATAGAGGCATTAACTTCGCTATGTATATGCCTTAATGAATAAATAAGATTTTTTATTCAATTAACACATGACATTGAGTTATTTTGAGGACTCTGACATGTGGTAAGTAACTGCATGACCTATTTGCATGTCTATCCAAGGAACATTACATCCAGATCTAACAATAACATGACCTTGTCTACATCTGATCAAAAACTCCTGATGTCCAGATGGTGCGTGAGGATAAGAAGAAAGTGATGTCATTTGCCAGCGAGTTGAAGAAACTGACCAGTCGCAGTCGCAGTATGACCACAGGGGGTGCTGCAGATGGTCCGGCGCAGAGTAAGGACGAGAGAGCAGCATGCTGTGTGGCTCTGACTGAGCTCCAGGAGTGACTCTGTCTGCTGTCTGTGCATGGAGCGGCAACAGAGGTAGTGCCTCTAACCCCTCCTCTGGGTTTTTCACACAGGGTTAACATTAGTCTGCATATGTTTGGTTAAATGTGACGTTCTTACAAATACGGGATTTTACATTGATGTTTTCTGTGTAGGAGATACACAATGGTTAATGGTATAATGTTGGCAATGGTGGTGAACATAAGGGCAGTTGTAAAAACACCCCATATCCTTTTTATGCTAGTAAAAATGTATTTATTGCACTAACTGAATATATGATTTTTATTAATAAACAATAATAACAAATTCTTCTTGCCCTAGCTTGTAGTTTTGATATTTTTGTAACATACAGCAGTTCCAGATGAATAACTTGTAACCAGTGACGGCGCAGTGTAAATGTGAGTACTGTCTCTCCCACAGGGTGCCTGTCTGCAGCAGTGGGGCTGAAGGCCTGGGTGAAAGAGGGGAGGCTCATGCAGAGCTCCACCTCCAGGAAACTGGTCCGAGAAAGCCCGCTCCCCCTCTCCACTCTGACCCCCGCGTCCTGGAAACTCCACCTCCTCCGCAACTGGAAGATCCACAAATAAAGCCAGACAAGTGAGAGATTTCTTCATTGACCACTTCTACTGAAGGTTTCAAGTCAGTCTGGAGCAGAGGGCGTCTAGACTCCACAGTCCTGCTTTAGTTGGTAGTACAAGACCCTCCTGGACTGGACCTTAGCTCTGGTACTTAGTAGAGGACAGACAGAGGCCTGAGGGTTGACACAGTCATATTTGGGTGGGGTTGCGTTTGAAGACCCCATGTTACGTCACTTTAGAGCTGAGGCTCATATCACAGAGCAGCTATAAGGGCTCCGAGTTTGGGGAGTTCTGGAGTTACGTTGTAGAGAACAAGGTGTTTTCTTGAGGATTAGATATGGCCCTTTTAGAAAACAAATGCAGGATGTAGGTCAAACTACATCCACATTTAGATGATTGGGGGTTTTGCTTTCAGATAATTTAATTTTATTTGTACACACCATGTAAAATATTGTGCATTCTTTACAAATAGCCACCAAGTAGCTAAACTGCATTTTACACTATATACACTAAATGAGGGGTGCTGTATTCAAAAACAAGGAAAGGAAGGATAGTACGTAGAGAAGAAAGTAGACAAGCGGGCTTGTTTAGTTGTTTAGTACACTGTTCGATAATGACAGTACTGTACATGTACGCACATCAGCAGGTGCAGGTGGTCATCCAGGGACAAGAGTGACCTTTCAGCATCTGCATTTTGTTCCTTTTAAAATATTTTACTGACATTGATTTGATTTATTGATTTTTATTGAGAGAGCATTCATTTTGTTTTAATTTGCCATTTCATTTCAAAATTGCTAAATTTGCATTGCTCTAGTTTCCTGAGGTTAATGTGGAAACTACACATTATTAGCTCAAAGTTTGAATTTGGATTGAGTGAAATAATTAGTTGTATACTTTTTTCCTTATGAAAAAGAAAACATTATTTACATTTCCTTTAAATTGATTATCAAAAGTTGTATCTTTGCTTTGTTCAATTTTTAGAATTGCATGCTGTTTTCAAAAATGTATTTTTTGAAAAACTGGAGAATAAAAGTGGAAAGTCACATTCCATTGTTAATTGGCAAAAACTAATGCTATTCTTTAGACAAGTTTCTTTAGTCCGCATGTGATTTATGTATGTTTTATTTTCGCCCTGATTTGGCACTGGTAGTATGGCCTATTTCCTTAAGTGCAAGAGCATGTGGTGCTTTGGTCTAATAGGTTTTTAGGTAAATAAGATTGTGATTCCCGAAAGCACAGCTCTTTCTGCACATGATAATCAGCTGCATAGTGGCTTCTCTAATCCTGTTATTCATTCAGGAAATGTCTATTAAGCACACCAGCCTTTTGCCCACTGCTGCACTGATTATACTATACTATAGAGAAATGCCTCACCTAAATGAAACTTAAAGGGACATTTTCCTCACATTTGACATGAGCCCAGCTGTTTGCTCTCTTTCCGCCTTTGTAGATCCTGCTTTTGAATGTATCATGGTAAAGAAAGAGCGATAAATCATTGTTATTTATTTCAATGTGAAGCCCTGGTTGGCATTTTTCTGTGTATCATTTCTTGTCAATATTTTTATTTATTTCAACTGCCCTAATTGTACTCCTATTTAGTTTTATTATAATTGTATTGTACAATTGTCCTTTCCCAACAGCAGCATGATGTCTTTTCTTTAGTGAGGTTTTTTGGTTGTGTCCTCTGAATGAGCATGCCGTAGCTCCTCACCATCATGTTACACTCCACATCATGCACATGTCATTATGTTGCTGTTAACATCGACTATTTACTTGAATTGAAGGAATTGTATTTTGGTGAATGTCGTATTTACCAGCATCACAATAAAATATATTTTAAGATTTGCAACTTGCAAGATTACATTGTTTCTTTATGCATAAAAATGATCATGAATAAAGCAGTGATTTTTAACCATAGGACCGGAGCCCATGGGAAGGCACAATAATGAGGGCCACAAATCTAACTAGAAAAGCACTCAGAGAGCGCAGACCTCCGCCAAGGACTACCCCCATTTTTTATATAAATTGCGATAAAATCAGTCTTCTGGATCAGATCCGGATGAGCCTTTGGAATATGAAAGAGGATCCCATTGTCCATCCCTGAGTCAAATTTCATGGGGTTTGGTCAATAATTAACCGAGATATTGAGAAACAAAATTTTTGGCCTCATTTACCACAATGTTAACTAAAATTTCAAAGTGATCCAGAATCCAGGATTTCTTCCGGATCACCCCCAAAATGAAATCAGTTCTTCCTTTTCACATTTCCAACAAATCCTGAAGATTTCATCAAAATCGGTCCATAACTTTTTGAGTTATGTTGCTAACAAACAAACAAACAGACAAACGCCGGCAAAAACATAACCTTGGCGGAGGTAATAATTATTCACATATTTACTGTACATTTTAATACATTCAAACACAATACACACAACAAAATAATTACAATTATGACTAAATATTTGTTCTCTATCTCACATCAAAATTATGTGACATTTCATGATCCAGCTGTACACATAGTTCCCATTATGAGTGAGGGCCAAGGGAACCGTGCAAGTGTATCATAAGTGTGCGCGTGTTGGGTTTAACCAATCAGACAAACGACGGATGTGACGTTTCCAAGGCGGGCTAAATGCGGAAGTTAATCAAAACAAATCCAACATGGCATGCAAGGGAGAAAAAGCTTTCCGCCAATTTGGTATGAATAAAAATGTCGGAAAACCTCCCAATGTGAATGACTTTGCCGTTGTTGCTCGAAAAACATGAGAACAAATGGCGTTATTGGCAACTCGATACTCCTTTTCACACCGAGCAAGTTGCAACAGGCGACTATGGCAGAGACAGTGGCGAATTTTGGATTGATTTTACATCCGAGCGAGACCAGATCAATACGCATGTGCAAAGTATGCGTGAGTGTTGTCGACCGTCTGGCAAAGGATTTGGTTGTTTTCCGTAAATGGCAAGAAGAGGAAAAGGCTTTCACAGAGAAAACCACATTGACTCCAGTTTCGTCTGAAGGTAGAGATAAAAGACCTCGCTCTCCATCATCTTTGACTTTACCCCTGCCCGTACCGAAGAAACCCTGCAACCCCCAGCCGGGACGGACAAGAAAAAGTGTTACACAGGTACAACGAACAAAAGTTAGATTTTCGTGGTTACAGAGCTGTCACATTGGTTTTGCACGGGGTTTTGCATTTGTGAAAAAAATAATTAATATCGCCCTTCTGTATATAATAAATGGTGGAGTCAGTGTTTACCACTTGTTATTTGTGGTCGTGTGCACATGCATTTGGAACCAGACAAGATCCTATGAATAAATTATAGACTAAGCATGAAATGAAATGTACGAACTAACTAATTTCACCTTTTTCTTAGGTTATTACATCCTTCGCAAGCAAAAGTGTTGTGAAAGTTGCTTCTAATAGTGAAGCAGGGATCATCCAACACATTGCCAACCAAAACTGGACGACCGCTGCCAACCTGATGTCCTCCCACAAAGAACTTTTCGATGAGGTAAAATCCAAGGTTCTGGTTTCCATCCATGAGGAATGTAAGAGCTACTCAAACTGCAACAACAAATGCATCCTCTGGAAAAGTTCTCCGGATGACCTCAAGTCTTTTTCTTTTCACAAACTAGTTTCTGAACTCGAGCACAGGTCACCCTTTTTACTCTCCCTTTTTCAAACAATCACCAACAATAACAACGAAGATGCTGCGTGTGCTGCTCTCTGCATAGCACTCAGAGGGAGGGAGCCCCGCTTGTCTGCTTTCTCCTATTACATCAACAATATAATCGCACGTGGTGGAGGTATAAAGAAGGCAGTTTATAATCGATTAGGCAAAATGGCAATTACTACATCATACTATCATGCTACTATCATACATCATACTAAGAGCTACCTGTGGAGAGACTCACCCCGAGTTAGAAGCTCCTGCTGAACCTTTGCAGAACCCTGATGAGGAAATAGACAATTCTTTAGATACAACAGAACTGATGACTAAAGACTCAGAACTGGAGAGCCATTTGGCTCGTCATACGGAGCAGGAACTTTTTACTTGCATAGAAAATATTACATGACATAGTTGTATGATTAAAAGATGTACTATGCAATGTAGGTCTGTGCTACATAGTGTCTTGTCTGCATTTTAAAACCTGCGTGAGCCAGAAGGGATTTGTGGACCATCTGTAAGCATCCATAGGAGACATAAAAAAATTATTCTAATCTATGCTTATTTCTATAAAGTTTAGAAATTGATAGCTCTTGAACATGAAGTAATGTAGCCTTGTATCCCATAGGTTCATACTATTTTGCCCACACTGCAAGCGACACTATAGTGACAGTAACAGCTTCTGTTGTTGCTTCTTAAAAGTAAAAGTAAAGTAAAATTTAACAGTGCAGTTAAATGCAATAAATATCAAATTGTTACAGTCTCTCATAAAATAAACTTGACTTGTGTAGTAAACCTAGGGGCGGGACTACCCCGGGACTAACCAATCAGACCAAAGAGGAAAGGGACGAATACGGAAGTAGTAAAACCAAACATGGCGTTGAAAGGGACCGAACCTCGCGAATTTGTCCTAAAAGAAGGTGGTGAGGAGATTGTAGTATTACAGGTAAATGTGGGAGCAGACGAGGCTGCTGACGTGAATGACTTTTGTCGTTTCTGCCATAAAAACATGAGGAGAAATGGCGTTATAGGACACTCCGTGCTCATTTTCTCACGGAATAAACCCGATTACAAGTCTGCTTCGGACAGACTGGAAGATTTGGGATTGACAATAAAGCCGAGCAAAAATAAATCGACACGCATGTGCAAAACTTGTTTACACACGATTGACCGCCTGGAAAAAGCCATGTGTGTTTTCCGCAGATGGAAGGAAGAAGAGGAAAAGGAAAAGGAGGGCACAGACGAAACAGCATCCACAAACTCCCCTGAACCCAGCGATAATAAAAGAGCCCGGTCCCCGTCTCCACCAGCGCCCCTCGCATTCCCCAAGCCTCTCCCCAAGAAACCCCGCGCCAGCCCCCCTCAACAGGCAAGGCGAAGTGTCACACAGGTATATCTAATCACATTTAACTTTTTGTGGGCAATCTGCCGGTTACAGAGCTGTCCTAGTGATTCTGTACATTTGCAGTAATATGTAGAATTAATGAATAGAGGTGTGAGGTATCTTTTCAATAACTTACATTGTGGTCTGATTTTTGAGTCATGATTTTGCACATCATTTGTTCCCAGAGATGGTCTTATGAATAAATGATCGTGTAAGGCTGCAACGATTAATTGACTAATTGTGACTAGTCGACTAATAAATGATCATACTTCATATTTTGATCATCATAATTGTAATCTTCCTACAAAGACTTTAAAACAGATACAAAAAGACCTTTTTATAACAAACACTGGCATTATTCTATTATCAGAATTTCATAAAAGGAACTATTTAATATTTGATATGATAACAGATTTATCTACTATTATGTCTCTTTAAAAAATACCTTCAGTCTCCATATTTCAACCTGGACTGTATAACCTTTATTTGGGTGATAGTATATTTGAAAAGTCTCAATGTACAATAGAATGGGTGACTAGCCAAACGATTCAATCTAAGAATTAATACAGCTCTATTATTGACAGCCCTATTATTGAGTAAGCATGAGTTTAAGATGAAACGGTTACTATGAACTTTTTTCCCCCTCAGATCATTACTTCCTTTGCAAGCAGAACTATTGTGAAAGCTGTTGCTGATAGTGAAGCAGGGATCATCCAAAACATTGCCAACCAAAACTGGACGACCGCTGCCAACCTGATGTCCACCCACAAACAACTTTTCAATGAGGTAAAATCCAGGGTTCTGGTTTCCATCCATGAGGAATGTATGAGCTACTCAACCTCCAACAACAAATGCATCCTCTGGAAAAGTTCTCCCGACGACATCAAGTCTTTTTCTTTTGACAAACTGATTTCTGAACTCGAGCACAGGTCACCCTTTTTACTCTCCCTTTTTCAAACAATCACCAACAATAACAATGAAGATGCTGCATGTGCTGCTCTCTGCATAGCACTCAGAGGGAGGGATCCCCGCTTGTCTGCTTTCTCCTATTACATCAACAATATAATCGCACGTGGTGGAGGCATAAAGAAGGCAGTTTTTAATCGATTAGGCAAAATGGCAATTACAACAACATACTGTCATGCCCTGACAAAACAAAAGGAGATGAAGGGTGCTATAAGAGCAGCCACCTGTGGAGAGACTCCCCCCAAATTAGAAGTTTCTGCTGAACCTTTGCACAGTCCAATTGAGGAAATGGATAATTCTGCAGATCCTGAAGAATTGAGGACTAAAGACACAGAGTTGGAGAGCCTTGTTGATGCATGTATGGAGAAGGAACATTTTAATTCTTGTCCAGAAAACATTACATGATACAGTTATGCAGTAAAAAACATACTATGCAATGTATAATATGCACTATTTGCAACTCCAATTATTGTTTTTGTTGTATAGCTCATGTCTGAAAAAGTACATAAAAGGAAAATATATCATTTATCTTTAATACTTGTGTGTACAATGTGAAGAGCCTTTTTATAGATTTGGTTTATGGTTTATTAATAATAATTAAACAAAAAAAAAATGATATTGTTAATTACCATACTGGCTTGTCAAAGCCTGATCTTACCTGATCTCAGAAGCTAAGCAAGGACAGGCCAGGATACCACGTGCCACAATTGGGTGGCAGTGGCAAAATAGTTGTTGTGTCCTTAGACAAGACACTTCACCCACATTTTCTAGTATGCATGTGGTGTGTGAGTGTGTTGGTGGTGGTGGTGAATTTTATTTATTATTTGATTCGTTATTGGAAAGAGTACTGAAAATTTGTATTCAAGTAAAAGTACAGTTACTTGGCTAATAATGTACTCAGTTATTTACAGTATGCAATATCCTCTATGATTTAGAATAGAATTATACTTCTATAAGCACCTACAGGTTTAAAAATCTACTCAAAAAATGCAATACCCCCAAAATCTACTCAACTATAGTATTTGTAATTACCATCCCTAGTTGACAGAAATGGTATAAGACCTTTATGACCTTTCTACTATTACGTCAACTTAGAAATGATCAAAAAATAGGAATTGATTTAAGAAAGAGTTAAATTGATAAAGTGAGTTTTTTTCTCTTTTTTTATTTTTTAAGGAGTCTTTAAATTAAAGATGGAAAAAAATTAATTGTTTCACACTCACAATAAGTAATTCTATGTTATGCTCTTATCAGTAATAAAACATAAATGCATTGTGAGGCGGGTCACTCGGGGACTAAACTAATCAAGTGGCGGACATGACGTTTGCGGAAGTAAACAAGCGTAAAAACAACAAAAAAAAAACGCCATGGCGTTCAGTGACAGAAATGCTGTTCGCCAATTTACCATCACAGAAGACGGGGAAGAATTTGTAGTGTTACAGATAAACGTTGGAGTAGACGAGACACGCGCTGTGAATGACTCGTGTCGCCTTTGCTCTAAAAATCTGAGGATAAATGGCGTTCTTCAACACACAGTGCTGCTTTTCGAACGGAGTAAGTTACAGCAGAAATCTATGGCGGACAGATTGGCTGATTTGGGATTGAGTTTAAAACCAAGTAAGACTAAATCGACACGTATGTGTAGATCATGTTCACAAGTTGTCACACGTTTGGAAAATGACTTGGCCGCCTTTCGCAAGTGGAAGGAAGAAGAAGAAAAGATCGACAGAGACGAAACAAACTCACCTGAATCTAGTGAGAAAAGAGCCCGTTCCCCATCTCCACCCGCACTGTCCAAGCCTCTAGCCAAGAAGCTCCGAACTAACCCTCTGGTCTGCCAGCACACGAGGAAAAGTGTCACACAGGTAACCTGAAGTGTGAGGCTGCTTTTTATTTGTTATGGGTAAATATGAGACATTCGTGTTATTGCAAAACCCTTCCCAGGTCATTACCACATATCTAAACGGCAGATCAGAGGTCAGAATTCCTTCTGAAAGTGAAGCAGGAATCATCCATGGATCTGTTAAAATAACCATCAATCATGCAATCATGGATACATCCAAAACATCACCAACCAAAACTTGAGGACTGTGTCAACTTGCTTTCCACCCATAAAAACCTTGTCAACGAGGAAAAACTAAAGATTCTCGTTGATGTTAATGATAAGAGTCAGAGGCTGTCAAATCCCTACAACAAAAGCATGCTGTACAAAACTACTCCAGCCAACCTCAGGTCGTTTTCTATCGACAACCTGATTTCTGAACTGGAGCACAGATCACCTTTGCTGTGATGAAGCTGCTTGTTCTGCACTTTGTATTGCACTCAGAGGTTTGTCCACATCGGGCTTTCACATCAACAGCATTACTGCACGCGAAGCTATGAAGAAGGCTGTATTTAACAGGCTCAGCCAAATGGGAATCACAACATCGCACACAGCCAGGCTTTGGTAAAGCTAAAGGAGATGAAGGGCACTTAAAAAAGGGGTCACCCATGGAGTCACTTCCCCTGAGTTAGAAGTTCTCACTGAAACTTTGCAGAAACCTGACGAAGAAATGAAGAATTGCAGATCCCGAAGAACTGAGGACTAAAAACCCAGATTTAAAGAGCCGTTTGGATTCTTCTATGGAGCAAGAACTTTCTACTTACTCAGAATATATTACATGACAGTTACAACATAAAAATATATTAATATATTTGCATTCAGTAAAGTTACTACAATATCACATTGTCTAGTATGAAAGAGGCTAATACATTGTTATATAAATGGGAATTTGTTTTCAAGCTATGTGATCCTACAAAACTCAATTTGCACTTGGACAACAAATTCTTAAAATAAGTATATTACCAGTGTGGCACATTCCTAGATAAATATATATGTTGCACATTAAGGAATGTACAGTATATATTCATATTTCTTTGTCCACAATCCAAGTGTACTTTTTGATAACCACAGAACTCACATCTGGGCAAACTGGCCAGTCCTATTAACTACTGGTGTAATAAAAATATAATTTTCAGCCCCATAGTTCATCTAGCCAGTTTACTAGTTAGTGGGAGATGACTGCAAATTTCATTTCTACTTAAAGTCATTCAGTGCACCTAACGTAATCATTTCAATTAAAAGTTGTTAAACTGCCAAGAAGAATGTAAAATTGGGATTAGGTTTCATTCATGTCAGTATAGAAATTGACGTTGAATTTGTAGAACCTACCCTTTTAATCTTTTCTCATGGATTGGGTATGGCTAAAATATCAACAACAGAGTCCCCTTTCAGTAGTCACGTCTCACTGACTTGGTGAAACTCTAGAAAATATTATTCCTGAGGTGATTTGAAGCTGGTTTTTTCTTTAAAGTTTTACAATTTGACTGACTTTGACTTTGTCAGGTCAAATCATTATCCTCTTTAAGGTCCTGTTCTACACAATTCTATATTATTTTATGCTGTCTGTTTTGTGAGGTTTGTGATGTCTGAGACAAGAGCACTTGAAACACAAAAAAACATCAGAGACACTGAGAGGACCAAATGCCATACTTTGTTTGGTTAAATAAATAATAAATGTAAAAGTCCAAGTGTTCTTTAATTCCTATACATTTTGATAATTCCCATGATAATAACATTGTTTGGTTCAAGTATGGAAGAATACCATATAACCTTTATTATTTCCTTTTTATGCATTTGGCAATTAATCAACTAAATCATGTGAATGAAATATTTTTTTTATTTGGGTAAAGTTTGTCAAGCACCTTGACAACAGTAAAAAGGCAGGTTTGGATGAACAATACAGGACGTGTCAATGCAAAGAAACCAGGCAGATTCTGTATGAGCTGCACCGACTTAATACTGAAAGAACAAGGTTCATACAGAGACAGTCCTTAAAGGGCCGTAGAAAATCCTCATATACTTTCTTCTCATTTTCCAGTAATTCCATACAAAGTACAAATACTTTATAGCAAATATAGTGTGCCTAGTTGCCCAAAGATGATCAGAAAAATAAAATAGAGCCTTTGTTTTGTAAATAGAAAGCATATTTCACATGGGGGAGTGGTTTGCATTAGGCTACTTATTGTTTAGCTTAGTGATAAAATGGGATTTAAATAAATTCCATAATATGATAGCAAGTAAACAATCCTTTAAAATATTCTTTAGAAATGAAAAGCAAAGAGTTGCTGTCCTGGTCATTAGACACTGGAAAAAAAACAAAACAAAAAAAACTGATTAGACAAAAGTCACTATGGACTTGTGGAAAATCCTCATCAAACTCTTTGGCTAGCTTAATGCTAATTGGCCTTTTAGCTGAGGACCATCCGATTCTTTGCGTCCCTCTTGTTAGCAGTGGTGCCGTGATGATATGACCTCTAGTAGTCCTTACAGTGACTGGAGCACAGTGAGTCAGAGTTTGGTCATGGGGATGTGCAGGCTGTTCCATGGTCCCATCCACAGCTCCTCCTCGTCCGTCTGTGTCCGATCAGAGGGACACTCCATCACCAGACCCCCTTCATCACTGGTGTTACCCCCATCCACCTGCGACTCCCTCTCCCCCTCCTTCCCCTCCTCCCTCCTCTCCTCAGTCTGTACCTGTGAGCCCTGTGCGGCCTTCAGCAGGTTGGATTTGGACGCGGCCGATTCGGGGCCAGTGTTGCTGGTGCTTGTTGAGACTAAGGACACACTTGAATTTCGAGTGTTGAGCGCATTCAGAGTCTTGTCCGTGTTGGAGAAGGAGGAAGTGGCCAACGTAGAAGCTTTACCTGCGCTTTGAAAGGTGCGCAAAATGGTGCACCCTCCATCCGCCGCTGTTCTCTGGGTGTTTATCGGGATCCTCTCCTCCAGCGTGGCGGCCATTTTATCTAATTTTTTAAAGTGCTTGGCTAGCCGCGAGCTGAAGACCGGGGAGATTGGAAGTTTAAGGTTATTATTAGTTGACTGCGTGTTTGTAGTATTAGTTGTGCGTCTGGTTCGAATTATAGATCCATTCTGGGCCACGTAGATGCTGCCGTTGACGTTGGTGTTGCTGTTCAGAGTTACTCGGGTTTGTTGCGTCCCTGGCAACGTGTCGTCTCCGGTAGAGCTGGTCTCGTATTCTCGATCTAACACCAATTTGATCCGACGCTTTCCCCTCCCCTGCTGAAACAAAAAAGAAAAGTTTTACTGACATCCTGCACTTTCAAATGTGGAGAGCAAGTCATAATTCAAGCACTGTGTCTCAGAGCAGATATCGGTGAAAAAGAATAACAAAAGATAGAAGTGCAGTCAGGTCACACAGCATTGCAAAGAAATGCTATGATAGCAATAATATACAATTCAACTGTAAAATAGAAGTTGTCTGATTACAAAAGGAAGCATTCCAGACTACAGGGCAATGGAGGACATATCTTCAGTTGTAAATCACGCCAAACAAGAGACTAAAAAAAAGAAAAAATCCACTCAGGAAATCACTGCACTCCAATCATTATCACCCACTTCTTACTCAGTGCTAATGGGGTAATCTTTGGCGCTCGCTATGTTATCTAGCATCTCAGTCGTCATCTTGTCCGCTGCTCCTTTCCTCATCGCTGTCCTCCATGATTGGCGACAGGTCATCGTGGTTACGCTGGGTTTCCGCCTCTTCGTCGTCACTCTCTTCCTCACTTTCCTCATCCGTTGAATGGGAGCGCTGTCTGGAAGTTTTGGGCCTAGACTTGGCACTTTTGCTACTTGAGTTTTTCCTGCTTTCACTATCCGAGCTTTCCCCTTCTCCGCTATCTGAATCTTCTGTAGTGTTAAGGTCTTTTTCCGTGTCCGATTCTTCAGTTTCAGTTTTGGACTGGCTATCGTATTCTGAGTCCTTAGCATTCCCAGCTTCTGTAATTGAAGAGGAAGGGCTGCTGGTATCTGACAATTCTGATTCTTTAGACTCTTTGCTTTCTTGTTTTTGTTTTCCCCACCATTCCTCTGTCAAACCTTTAGATGACTTTTCCTGTCCTTCCGAGAATCCGCTCCTATCTCCTACAGACGTTTTTGGTTCTGGACGGTTGTCCCAGTCTGTTGCTATGGTAGCTCCCTGAAGTCTCCTGCTCAGGCTGATAAGACTCAAGGCCTCGCTAAGCTTTTGTTTCGCAGGAGCCGGGTTGCTGGCTTCGCTCACAGTTTGGAAATAAGTCCCGTCAATGAGTATCCCATTGCGAACAGTGCCAGACCAGCTCGAAGACGGCAATCCTGGAAGCTCTACTCTCCTCTGTTCTGGTGAAGGTCCAAGTCCCCCAGCAAAACCATTCCTCATCCCATTGTTTGGCGTTCTTCTATATCCTCTCCCCATTCCTGGTTCTGTGTTTTCTTCGTTTGCATGTGCGTTGACTTGATTTTCCGGCTCTCTTTTAGGTTTTTGCAGGCCAGCCTTCAGCTCCTCCATGGGGCTGATGCGAGCTTTGCTCCATGGCGGGTGGACGGCAGGTGGTTGTTTGCTGGTTTTGCTTCCCGAGGAGAACAGAGAGCCCACTTTCATCATGGACTTTAGCTTGTCCATAGCGCTTTTAGGTTTTGTGGTCTCTGATGTAGATTTTTTGCTGTCTTCGGTTTGCTTCGATTTTCTTGGAGAAGTATTCTGAGGACGGGGTTGGGGGGATTTGGAGTTGGAGGATACTCTACCTCCCTGCATCTGTCTCTTCACCTGTTTCATAACAATATATTTGTTTAGTTTTATAATGTATAGTACGTTTAAATATTTCAACATACAAACACTGCTATGAAAAAGTGAAAACGAAAAAGAGGAATTCTGTGCTTTCCCATGACATATAGCTGCAAATTTAAAATTAGTAACACTCAAATTTGGAAAAGGAGAGTTTGTAGGTGGTATAGTACAAGAGATCAATCTAACTGTCAAAGGAAAGCATTCAATAAAAAAAAATGAAAAATCCCTATTTCTTCCCACCTTTTAGTAATATTTTGCATCCTCTTTCACTACCTTTATCAAAGGTTTGGACACAATTTTTCATTTTTGTTTTGTCTTAATCTTTTGACCACATTGTAGAGTCCAACTGAAAGAATCAAAACTATGAATGAACTCATATGAAAAGTAGTAAACAAAAAATAAACTAAATAATTGTGTATTGTTTAAGCTTTAAAAAAAAAAAAAATTTGTACTCCTAGCATTTCTTGAAGTGAAAACCATTTCAGGAGACATCATAAAGATGACTGAGAGAAGGCCAAGGGTTTTTAAGGTGTAGCTACTTTGAGCAATTAAACATATTTCCATTTACTACATAATTCCACATATCTGGCATAATATTAGATGTTTTCTCACGTTTCCAAAATGCAGAAAGTAGTAAACAAAGAAAAAAACATTGAATGAGGAGGTGTGTCCAAACTTTTGGGTATATAAATCAATTCTTAGTTTCAAAACCTGAGAAACGATCTATTCATGCACACATTCTTCTACGTGGACCTTAAACATTATATATAAGAGAAGATTTTAGCCACATTTGCCTTATAACACCGATTCCCTAGAGCAGTATTTATTTTTTATTTATTTTTTGTAGTAGCACTTTATTTACTTTTGCTTAAAATCATTCATATTATTTTATATACAGCGTCAGTAGGTCTGCAGTACCTCGCCATCGGACTCCTGGGTGCTGTAGTAGTAACTGCCATCCTCGTCCACGATCACCTCTCCGTACTCATCGTAGGGCCCGGTCGGAGAGATCAGCTTCCTCCTGCTGCCATACTGAGGGAGCTCATACCTGCACAAACACAAGACCACAAACACAAATTTTCACATTTGCTCAAGGTAAACTGATAAGTGGAAAAGGTTAAGCTAGAACTCCAGGGCGGTTCAGGCGCTGGCTCAGTTCCACATTGTTTTTCACTGAAGGAGGTAGGTCAATTCTTTAATTAATTTCTGGTGTAGTAACAAAAGAAGAGGCCCCAAGCACTATTATATTAGATTGAAAAAAGAGAAAAAAAAAGAAAAACTGGCTCTTTTGAAAATTATAGTAATACATCAATTCTGTACATCTAAGCCTGACACAGTATTTTTAAAGTACAATGCAGTTTTTTATCGCAGTATCACAGTAAATGATAGTATTGATATTTTAACCATATAAAGCAAAAAATCTCAGCAAACTTGTTTCCAAAAGAAGGTATACACAAAAAACATGAGCTGTAAAGAATAAACAGTAAAACATAAGTAAATTTGTGTTAATATTTAAAATGAATCACCCTATTTAGCTCAAATGTTGATGTACTATAAATATTGACCCCAAAAATATAGTTTATTCAGTCGATATAGTAATTATTGTGACAGACCTATACCCATCTAAAATGTAAATATTTGTAGAACCTTTTAAACATTTGCCATGCCCCATTTAGTCCCTTCGTACTTTCTGCACGCTTTCTTGCATCTTGATTCACTAAACACCAAACAAGGATTAACAACATTTCATTCACAGTCCACTAATTTGCCAAAACAAAGCGACCTTAATCACAAAAGTTCTATTTTCTAGCCGGGAGACATTTCTTTAAGGGACAATGGGTGAGTTAATAGTCGTGCTTTTTTGTCTCCTTGTGTTTGCCGTAGCTGGAAGCAGTGGCAGTCGTCAGCGGCCACAGCAGCAGCATCACCTCCTGGGTTACTTTGCCCTGCAGCTACAAGCTCAGAGTGAACAGGTCAACAAGATCATCTTTTAAAATGTGCCCAGGAAACAATATGTCCCTGTGTGATAAAAACAGCATGTGTGGATGCTGCCAGAAGAGGAAGAGGCTGCTTCTCAGAAAAAGAGATACAAGAGATTTTCCACACTGTGTTAAAGGTGCATTGTGTAACTTTTCTGGTGGAGGGTCCGTCAAATCCTTTTCTCCATGGAGATGTTACTGCTTTGTCTGGAATGTTTCACAGTATGGCATTTAACCTTTCTATCTTCATGGAAACCAAACCAGACCAGGCTACAGGTCAGATCTTTGGAGAGGCGACCCTGCTCAGTCAGAATGCCTGTTTTTCAAGATATTTTCGAGTTATAAAACTAGCCTGAATCATCAGCCGGGTTCATTTCGTAGAAACCGTCTGATTTCGCAGTGTTCGAATTTGTTCTCTCGACAGTAGGCGGGCACTTTTTATCATTTAACCAATCGCTGCTATTAGCCACGTATGTAATGCACCGCTAACGGGGCTAACTGGTATATTAAGCAAGGACAATAACGTCTTTCCCCTTGATAAAATTCACCAAACATTTTCTTTATTCCGGCTTTAAATCCTCAATCTCGGGAATCATTGACAACACTGAATGTATGGCTCTTCGCTGATTGGCTGGTGCCCGAACTTGCACTTCCGGGGTTTTTGTGAACCGTCTATTGTATTTTGATTCCTGACCTAATTGATGGAGAGAAATGAAACTGAGCGGAGACAGTAGGTGGCGCCAGCCTGGCTACTATAATCCCCTCTAATTGAATAAATAAAAGGTAAAGCTGTTTAATGTCATACTGTGAAACATTCCAGGTAGAGCAATGACATATCCATAAAAACAAAAAACAAGCAGCAACCAAAAAGATACAAAGTGCACCTTTTTTTCTAACTTAGTTTCTTGGTGTGCCACAGTGAATCAGTGATGGACAATACCAGAGATTTGTTTTCATGTTCAATCTGATACCAAATAATACTATGGAGATGACAATATTTACCCTATACCAATACCAATGGTGTTTGTATGCATTGAAACTCCTCTTTTACCTATAAAGCCTTTCATTTTGATTTCTGCCTCATCTTGAACTGATCTAAAATGTAAATATATAGTATGATCAATCAGAATCAAGTATTTTTGATACCTCAGTCAGTGACAGTGTATTGATAATTTGGTATTAATGTACTAATAATAATTACATACAATTACATAATTACAACAAAGTATAACATGCATAATACATTTGGATTATGATATCAGTGCTGGATTCTCTGCATAATCCATCCCTTTTAGTCAGGATTTGTGACTAGCAGGCTTTAGTTCTTGCCTGTCTCAAAACTGGATTATTTTATTAACAATTCTAAAATGTTTTCAGATAACAGTTTTGGCAAAGATTTAGCATGATCAAGTATAAACAATTGTCTTTTTTCTTTGGACCAGGACAATGCGGTGCAGTCCAAAATGCAGCAAAGCGCCACAAAATGATTAATTTTTATCTTCTCAACAAGAGAGCCTTTTCCTTTTTTTTCCTTTTTCATAGCCCATACTCTGCTCTGCACTCTCTAATGCAGTGGCTATCATTAACTTGGGTGGCTATTTCTCCTTTCTGTAAAGTATTTAAACGTGCTAAATGGGCAAACTGGGCTAGTATTGGTTTGCCTTTGAAGTAACCTTATTACAGTAAGGAGCAGGCCATACAGAAACGTAGCATGGGTGTAATTAAAAAGAATGGAGGAAAAAAACTGCAGATTACACAGAGTGGTGCAGTGGGCAGTTAAATATAAGGTGCTTTTTACAGTGCGTCCCCTCTCTAATGTAATGAGCCTTACCCTTCTGCTAAACCTGCTTATAGGATTTCACAGTCATTACCCACACTTAAGCATATACTGGCTACTTTGTGCATGTGTGTTTCCATATCAACATCCACTAGGGGGCAGTAATAGTCCAGTAATGTTTTGCCAGCTGCCAGCGGTGCCTGCTGTCCTGTGAGCCATCAGTCTGTTTTCTGAGCTCTGTGTGGGAACTCAAACGGACCAAATTGGGTCAGTGGCCTGTTTCTGTGGAGTCTCCAAATGTTAAATGATTATTTAATGAAGAGCCCCAGTCCGGGAGATTAGACAGCCAAAGTCGCACACGCCTGGCTCATGGCATGCACTATTGTAAGCCTTATTAGCCCTGAATTGTCCATATTAAACAGAATTTGTAATCCCCATGATGAAATTGAATGTTTGCTGATTTTTTATTTGTCAGTGGTATAGCAGGAGTTCAAAGTAGTCAAAAAATTCATGCATTTCCAAAGAATGGGTTATAACAATTTGAAAATAAATATCTTGTGGTATGGACAAGTTACAAATAGTATATATAATAATATAGTGGGAATACTAAAATGGAAATGAAGGTAGAATTACACCACTTTTATAATATTATAAAAAAGTAAACATGTTGTAGAGCTACACAATATATTGCAATCAAATCAAAATAGCAATTTGAGTTGGCAAAATTATGACATCACAAAGGCTGCAATTATTTATATTAGGATGTCCTCTACAAAGACCAGAATATCCTGTCTTCTGTGGAAAAATGTTGTACCCTAGTTTGTGGTTCTTGTATTTGTCTATCCGCTCATTTTTCAAACTTCTCTAAAAGTTAATGCTTCTGGTGTTGTTTACAGTGTGCACTCTGAGCACAGTCCTACTTTTGAAACATAAATCACATAAATGAAAGGCTTTCCTCCCCGTACAGATGAGTTTGTCCAGACACTGGTGGCGTGATATGAGTGGGAGCCAGAGAAGTCACGCCTAGCTCAGTCATGGCGCTCCTCTCCCACGCCAAGAGCACACAGAGAGGCAGCTGAAAGCCATTACTCCTCTGTGAGAGCAACAGTCTCTGACCAGAGGGGAGCCACTACAAATCTGCCTTTATTGCATCTGAGGTGAGTGGTGCAGCACAAAGCTTTAGGTACCACACCATTCCAGTTAAAATTACTTCCCTTTCTGAATGATCACATCAAATGAATCATGCATGTCTAATATTATTTGTGAAGTTATAATTTGTGCTATTTCCACCATTGCACATTAAATAATTAAAGGTGTAACCTTTCTGACAGGGGGTCTGCCACATTCTTGTCTCTGTGTCAGTGTTAATGCTTTGCCTAGATCCTGCATTAATTCACTTATAACTGTTTTCATTATAAAGTCTCCATGGAGGTAGATTCGTTTAATGCCATAGTGTGGAACATTTCAGGCAAACGGAATCCATTGGTTTCAGAACGATGATGAGTTAGGGCCATTAACAGAATCTTATATATTCTGAATGGGGGAAATGTCCTCTAAACATTGCATAAACCAGGAAAATGAAACTCATGAATAAGATCTCTATGGAGACATTAGATAGCAGAGATATGCCTTGCAGCAGTTTTTCCCAAACTTTTTTTCTGGGGATCCATATTTTAAAAGTGACAAACCTTTGCGACCCAAGTCAATAGACATTATTCGTAAATCACAAAGGTGGATTTAACCATTGTTGAACATAAAGGAGAATATTTTATTGAGTGATCGTGTCTCTCTGAACAATTAGTATTACTCAAGTTTTAAACAATGAAAAACAGCAATTGAACCAGCAATAAAAGGTCACCTCTCTAAAAGGTACCTTTCACATTTCAACATGGTCAGAACTGTACATTGCAGACCTACATGCAGATTGTGACAAGGCAACCCCCCAAAAAAATCTCTTGTGACCCACCTGAGGGCCATGACCCAGTCTTTGGGAAACAGTACCTTATAGCATTATTTTTGGGTCGCCTTGTCACAATCTGCATGCGTGTAGCACTCTTCTCCTGCAACCTGGACTGGAATGCACAACAAAAATGCTGACAGGTCCACCTATCTCATTAGAAATGTTGAAATGACAAAGACATGTTTTGTCTGATTCATCTGAATGTTGAAAAGAAAAAGAAATGTGCTACATTTAATATCCAGATAGGCAACTTATGGATCCTTTCATTGCTGATTCAATTACTGTTTTTCATCTTTAAAACCTGAGTAATACTAATTCTTCAGAGAAACACGATCACTCAGTCAAATCCACCTTTATTTTGTAATTTACATATAATGTCTATTGACTTGGTTCTCGAAGGTTTGTAACTTCTACAATATGGATCCCCAGAAAAAAAGTTTGGGAAACACTGCCTTACAGCCTAGTATAGCACTGAGTACAACTGTGCAAAGCTCAGGGCTGTTAGAACTGCCAACCTACTGTATACGAGCCAGTCACACACGCAGGTTTCACCATTTACTTCACTATGTTTCCAGTAACAATTGTATTTGTCCTGTTTCAGAACCATACAAATCCCAGCGTGCAATTTCCATGTCAATTTTAAATAAAGTTGTGTTTTCAATTATCCAGCTAAATCACCAATCATGAAATAAAATCCAAGAAAACACAACCCCAGTAGCAGATGGAACAATTTATAACGTCTTTAAAAATAACAATAAAACTCACATTGCTTCTTGGCAACTAGTAAAACTTCTCTCTCCCCAGCGCCTATTAACTTTTGTTAGCAATAGCATATACGGTGTAAAAAGCAAAAACAAACTAAAACATCTCATTTACGAGTGCAACAAATCTGGTAATTAGGTGCGTGTCCCACCAGGTCACACAGCGCATCTTCCCGAGTCAGACATGAAATTGTGGCTGTTGCGCTAAGCTAGCAGCATCTGGCCTATTGTCTGGCTCCACGGCTGGCTGCCTGATTAGCTGCTCCGCTCCTCCAGTACTGCGTATGTGTGTACTTTGTGTAGTATTTGTGTAGTAGTGTGATACAAGGAGCACGAGAGGGTTGGGATATGAATGGAGTCGGAGTGTGTGGCGCTATTTATTTATGTGACAGTGTGGGCGGCAGGATAAAATCAAGTTCCCGGGAGCGAGCAGCTAAAATTATAAGAATTACACAATGTATCACACATGGCAACAGCATGGTCTGAATGAGAGCACAAGGCCACAAGGTCTAGTCCACCAATCAATACCTGCGGGGGGAAAAGTACTCGAAATACGCACTTGAATCATTACTCAAGTACGAGTCCCATTAGTGTTTATACAGTTCTGTAGATACTTATCACTGCCATGGCTATTGTATCACACCTATTTGTACTGCTTGAAATTTTCATGCTGCTACCATTTACTTCTTCTCCTCTTTCAAATGTATGGGGACTAATGCTGCTATCTGTTAGGATCCTAGTCATATACCTAGCATAGGTGGAGTTTGCGGGGTCAGGGGGGTCACTGCCCTCCCTAGTGCCTAAAATATGTCACGAGTCTATAGGCGAGTTTCATTGTTGACAAAAGCGCGCATTGCATGCTGGGAATTATTTTGGTCGGCGGCAATAAACACTAATTCAATATGAAGGACAGAGCGAGAAAGCATGTAAAGGGTACTGATCCCGGTTATTTATCCACTCTAACGGCAGAGGACCGAAGACGATTTGACCAGAAATTGGTCATAAGCATCGATGGAGCCAAATCACCCTTTTCAACCCCTACAAAGCCTGGACCAAACCAAATTTCTGGTCGGAATCACCAACTACCTGGCCAAATATTCAGTTTGGCGATATCCACAATGACTTGGTGGAAACTCCTGGGCCATTCACAGCAGAAAAGATGAAAACCTCCAAGAGTCTCGATGTGTTGTTGAACTTGTTGGAGTCCACGGTTTACTAGGATCTTCTACATTTGCTCTGCGAATGTTTGAACGCCACTTAATTCGCCGTTAGTGGTTCTTTTCACTCGGAATATGAAAAAGACATTTTCCTTCTTCCGTGCTTCTATTTGTGAATCCGATAATGCAGCAGGAATTTACCATTATCGGGGATAAATACGCGAGGTTATGCACTGTGTTTGACCGCTATCGTGTTTCTTGCCTCCGACCAAAATATTTCCCAGCATGCAACACGGGCTTTTAATAACAATGACGTCAGCTCAAACTCGCCTATAAATTGACCAATGCAAATATTTACTTTAAAAAATGTATTAATATTTTAAATATGTCAATAAAACAAAAGGATTGTATGAAAGAAAATATGAATTCAAGTGTGAACCAGGTCTAAGCCAGAACTAAACCAGGACTGAACCAAGACTGAACCAGGTCTAAACCAGGACTAACCGTGGACAAGAGAGAGAAAGAACTCCGAGCCCGTGGAGCAGGATGTCCACAAAGCGTGATTAGGTGCTATGCTGAAGTGAATCGTAAACAAAAAGGTGATATTGTGAAATCTCTACACTCAATAGATCAGAACATAATAGCACCATATTACTCATGTACAGTAGTTGACAAACTATAACTCGCCTCCTCAGGTCATATGTTTTTCTTACTTCTCATCCTTAGATGCTGGCACCCCACAAACAGGGCAACGTGCAGGTGGATAATTGCTTGAACTCTGTGGCGCCCTCCTGCTGTGATATAACACAATGGACAACACAGCCGAGTGCGGATCTGTGCAGACTTCAGATCAGAGCCTTGTCCGTGACATGCTGTCAGACCGTATCAAAGAGCAGACCGTTGTGCCCTCACAACACCACAGACAAATCAAGTGCAGCGTGCAACCACCTCCAGCCAAGAGGAGGCGCACACGTGTTTGATGTGAGTGCCGCTAAACCACAGAGTGGTACTGCCAAGAGTCAAAGGTCAGCGCCTTGATACAAGAAGACTGATCATTCAAGAAATACAGCGTGGCATTCTTCTTGTATTGTTTACCACTCATAGCTGCACTCTGTCTTATTGCTCAATATATGAAAGCTGGAACCTTTTTTTCTTATTTTATGACGGGGGCAGTATTTATTGTGTGTACATAAGTCGAAAAGGTTGAATTAATAACTAAGATTATAGATTATAGATGTAAACTAGTTCTTAAGTGCAATTCTGCTATTTATTTATTGCAGCCATTTTTTTTTAACAATATTGTACATTTAGAATAGTTTTTGTGGTTTAAATCTGCTTTTGGGTTATTGCGTCAGTGGCATAAATTTGTTTCATTATCGTTTACTGTCTCCATTTACTTCAGCAATATATCGAACTACAAAATTTGTTACTGCGAAAGGAATACACACCCATATATAAGTAGAAGTCTGATTTTAGTGGTTAATGCATTTTATAAACGTATAGGGCCTGAAGCATGAGTGAAAAACAGGATGAATTCAGAATGAGCTGTTAGCCCCATCTATTTAGTCCACTCTCTCACTCCGATAAACTCTAACAGAGAAACAACAGTCTGAAATATTCACACAGAGTTGTTTGCACAAGGTTCTCAACCAACAACAGCTCCAATTGGATATTGACACTGGCTTGCCTGGTTCAATCAGATGTTCATTAAAGATTCACTGTGTAACTTCTCTGGTGGAGGGTCTGTCGTAGCTTTTCCTCATAGACATCTTATTTCTTTGCCTGGAATTGTCCACTGTATAGCATTAAACATATCTATCTGGAATTTGTTGATTTGTTTTTGGTGGAAATAGCGTGGAAATGTGTATTCTTATTTTTTAGTGTGTGGCCTCTTTCTCTACAGATCTTACCTGTATCTTGGCCTGGTGGTTTGCTGGGTCCCTGGTTGGAGGCAGGCGTAAGGAACAGCTAACGGCTTTATGCTTTCTCAACTAACTCTGTAACTACCTTCTACTAATTTTTGCCTTATTGCAGGTTTACTCGTATGTTTGATAAATTAAGTGTTTTAAAATGTAATGCAATTGTAGTATCTCCTCATCCTTGCCATTATTTGAAAATTCCAATAAAAAATGGTCACAAAAAACAGTGCACCTTTATACAGAGAACATCATTCTGTCTAGACAAAATGTACTTGTTGCACATGACTGAACGTACTAAAAGTTATGCCAGCTGGGGTAAACCATAAACTATACAAATGATTATGATAATAGTCCCAACTTTGTGTAACTGCAGTTCTCACCCGTGGTCGTAGTTGTAGTAATCCTGTGTGTAGTAGTCCTGTCCTGGATCGATGCCCGACTCCATGGACAACTCCTGCGGGAACGACATTTGTTATGAACCAAGATCTAGCAGAAAAACATAAGTTATAAACGGCCACAACAAGAAAGGGGGAAAGAAAGAGAATTCATAGAACAATAGACAAAGTACCTCAGGTCTGAGCAGAGAGGGGCGCAGGAGCTGTTGAGTCTGTCAGAAGAGAGGACAGTGGAAAATAGCAAAAGACACAGCAGAATTTATAATGTTTTACTTTTTGATCTTTCTCATTCTTTAGTGTCATTTCCCATTACTACTTGGATTGACTTTGATTTCCCTGCTAACGTGAATCATTAATATTAATAGCATGTCAAAACGGCAGATGTTTAAAAATTTAAACGTGAAATCAATATTTTTAATCAATTTTAAACTTTAATGAGAAAGATCAAGAGATTCACAGAAAATCACATAAACTGGACACTGGCCCTGCTGGTGCCAATCATGCACTTTAAATCATGCTAGAGAAATACTGATAGTTGTAGTGGCATCATGCTGGGGGGTTCTACATGCATGTCTCTAGTGGAATGTTCAGCAGTTACCATGTTTACATAATGTACACATTAGCAAACACTGCCAATAACAGTCAGAAAACTCAACCAAGCCAAGTCTTTCTGATCAGGTTGTGTTAATACAAAGCTCAGATTAAACTCTAACAAAGCCTTAGACGGAGCAGTGCCTACAGTTAGCATCACACCACCAATGAATGCTGGTGCAAAGTATCAATAGGAAGACAAAGTTAGAGTTCATGCAGTCAACACCCATGCAATTGCACATACCTCATGTTGGCCATATAAGCCTATACGCCTAAAACAGAGAGAGAATCGCATTAGTGAACATTGTACTATCAAATATAATTATTGTTTTTCTTTTAAATGACCTTCATAATTACTGTTTTGCTGTTTTGTTCTTGCTTACAATTCTGATAATGGCTTTATGCATAAAAACTTCATAATCACAAGCATAAACCATGACAGAGATGTGATTATGCTTACAAGTATAAAAAACAATTATTGCACAAAGACTCGATTACAAAATTGGCTTGCACTTTGCTCTGAACTCTGGCTAAATCTGTGGTTAAGTTAATAACTACAAGCTGAACTGTCCAAAAGAGGAGTGCTGTTTTTGATGTAGAGCTATAATAATGAAGCCTTGACAATCTAATTCATGTTCATCAATGTCATCGTAGTGTACAAGAGCAAAATCAGACCATCAATGTTTTTTTTAACAGATTCTCTGGCCATTTGATGTCAGTGGAAGAACTAGACAGATGCACAAATTCAGTTGCTAAGATTTGAAGAAAAGAGTTGGTTTTGTATTTTTAGGCCATGCATTGGGCAACAATAAAACATATTTAGCCAGCTGAAAAAAAAAAATCAATGTCGGTTGAAGTTTGGGTCAAACTGTCCCTTCCAACTGGGAACTAAAGCCCTTTAAAGTGCCGTGTAAAGCCGCTGGACTCCACGGACAGAATGGGCATTTTTACCTTGCACAGTTCTAACTGTTGTCCTTATGCTATTCGCTGGGGTGTGTTACCTCGTGTGACTTTGCAATTGTTAAAGGTCCATTGTGTAACTTTTGGGTTGGGGGTCCATCAACAGCTTGTTTCTATGGATATGTAACTGCTCTGCCTGGAACCTTCCACAGTATGACATTAAACAGCTCTACCTTACATTTATTCAGTTAGAGGGGTTTTATAGCTCAGAAACACAGAGACAGCGGAGTTGTCTCTCCACAGATCTATAATAATAATACTAATAATAATGCATCAGTTTTATATAGCACTTTTTGGACACTCAAAGATGCTTTACAGAGCATTATTCATTCACTCCATACCCAGTGGTGGTAAGCTACCATTGCAGCCACAGCTGCCCTGGGGCAGACTGACAGAAGCGAGGCTGCCAATCTGCACCATCGGCCCCTCCGACCACCACCACACAGCACTTTCATACTAGGCAATGTGGGTGAAGTGCATTGCGTAAGGACACAACAACATTTTATTTTTACAACTGGCGCCCCCCTGATTTTCCCAGTGGTCTCCCATCCAATGACTACCCAGGTCCAGCTTTGCTTAGCTTCTGAGAGCTGACAGGATCAGGCTTTGACAAGCCGGTATGGCCATGATCTGACCTGTAACTTGGTCTGGTTTGATCTCCATGAAGATAGAAAGGTTTAATAGCATACTGTGAAACTTTCCAGACAAAGCAATAACATCTCCATGAAAAAAAGCATTTGATCAGAAAAGTTACATCATGCATCTTTAAACTGAATTCAATCATTAGCAAAACATGATGTAAAAGGAACATGGGCCTATTTGACAAGGCTGATCTAACCACAACAAATGTAATGTACTTTGATTGCTCAACTGTAATTTTGCTATTGAAATTACTATGTTACACTGGTACATGAAGTCTGCAGCACAGACTGTAAAGAAGTAGACTAAGCGAGTGTGACGTAAATGAAGCTATTGAGGCTAGCAGTTATAGGAGCAAATTTAGAACCGAGTTTTAGACCACCATTGTCATGTAGAGTGGGATAAATCACCTTATGATGTCATGAAGCAGTAGTATAAACAGAAATGGACATATAAAACAGCATATTTTAAGTTGACATAGCATGTTTACAACTCATTGTGCAGAATAACAATATCAAGTTGAAATTAATTCTGTTTATCTTAGCGGCCTACTTTATTCTCTATGAGCCAGAGTCATAGCCATGTGTGCGTTACCACCACCACACACTTTTCCTCACAAATTTTTCAAAACAATGACAAATGAACATGAACCAGGAACACAAAGACACCCAAATGATATTTCCGACTCGAGTATTCAGGTGGGACAGAGAGAATAACAAACAAATGAATGTCAAAGAAAGAAAAGAGAGAGTACACCCCTCCGTTCCAGTCCATGTGTGGTGGCGGCGTCTATTGTCATGTGAAACCAGGGTAATGAGCTGGCAAAATGAAGATGCATCGCGCTACAATGACTTTCACAAAGAACACATCCGATTCCCTAACACACTCACAAGCAGACGATTCTTTAAATAAATTCAAAATGAGAATAATTGTGTCCATTAATCACAGACAGGGACATTTTTTTGCATCTCCAGTCATCCAGTCACCTTTGTGTTCTCATAAAGACAGGATTACTGCGGCGACGTGAGTAGGTGCCATGACTGACACATGAGTGGAGAGGGAGATAAAAGTCGATGAATGGAAGGCATACTCGTGAGCAGATGAAAAGGAGCTATCTGCAGAACAGCGCGGAACAGAATGGTCCCGTCATTGGCTCTGTCTGTATATGTGTGAATGGTGTGTGTGGTGTGTGTGTGGTGTGTGTGGTGTGTGTGTGAGATACGGATGGGGATCTCTAATCCTCTTACTATGAGAGGTAAGCGTGGAGATGGTGATAGTCAGGTCAGACACATCAGGTGTAGCATGCTAAAGCAACATTTTTCAAGTGTGATTACAAAGTGGATTTTATATGTACATGTAATAGTGATTTTAAAGGGCCCACATTACGCTATTTTTTGGATCTATGTTATACAATATTTTCTTTATCACAAACATACCTGGAGCTGTGTTTTGTTTTATTCAGTCATGTTTAACACAAACCCTGCATATTTAACAGAAAACACTGTTCCAACTTGTGATGTCATGTGGTAATACAGTGCTCCCCTTTGATTTCAAACTACATACACGTTCACTAGAATCATTTGGATCATTTCAGCCTTCGAATTGCCAGTGTCTCCTGAAATAAAGGCAAAAAGTAGCTGTTAACCTCAAAACTACCATGTTATGGCATCACAAGGTGGAACACAGCATTTTGAGCTTTGGCGATGTAGGGGTGTGCAAAAATACTGAAATATTGATATATTGTATCACTGCTATATCGATATGTCCTCATCAAGAGTATTTTAAGGTATATTTTACTAAATCATTTTGTTACAGTGCTACAGTTTTGTTGCTTGTTTAGAGGAAGGAAACCCGTTTATGCAACACATGTGATATTTTCACTGTTTTGATGAGTAAAATGTTTGTGTTTCATATGAACTTTTCATAAGAAGTGGTTTAACAAAGACTTTTACTATCACAGACATGATTTTGCCTTTATTTTTTATTAAACTGTATCATATAGATTTGAAATATGTCGTATCGAATTGCAAGCTCACTGTATCGTATTGGCAACTTCTGAATGATACCCAGCCCTAATGTAGACAGACTAATAATAAAGGTTTACTCAACAATGAACAACATGAAACAAAACAACTCCAGGTATGTTTCAGCAGGTAACAACATTCTAACATGGCTAAAAGTTCACAAGAGTCAATTTTGTGTAATATGGGGAGCTTTAAATTAAAAGGTACAGTATGAACCGTTTCTGGTGGAGGGTCTGCCACCGGCTTGTCTCCACTGAGATGTTATCTTCGCCTAGAATGTTTCAAAATATGGCATTAGACATCTAGCTCCACATAGGCAAGCAGGTGATGCCATCGAGCCACGATCTGTGGAGCGGTGAGTCACCTTACAGTATAAATGCAGGTATTTTGAGGTTGAGGATTTGCTGTTAAATTGACACCTTGTGGCTTATGCTAGCTAGATCTCAGAATGGTTTGGGAGTACACTACATTGTCTAAGTACATACATCCTGAAGAAACTGTCTTATAAGTATTGCAGTGAGGTTCAGTCAACATGGTAAATCGGATTTCCACTTTAAATTGACAATTTCTTTTAGTCGAAAATTAACTAGACTCCTTTCTGTAGTTTGTTGTATAGGAATGGGTCAGAAAGTAAACTAAGTTGACAGCAGATTTGTAAAATATCCAACCAGGTTTTGAATGTCATTTCTCAACCAATACTGGTTCAATGCTTTACGTTGTGTATATACGTTATCTTTACCTTTTATGTGTATATAATGTGTATATATTGTGAAGAAAAACAAAAACAAGTTTATAGAGCATCCTTTACTAAAACTCAAAACGCCAAAACTTTATCACCTTGGTCTATGGTTGGCCACCTTTATTTTGACCTTATCTGAATAAAACTTGGTGTAAATATAGTCTTTTGTAATAAAGTGGGCATAAAACCAATATTTTTTGTTCAAGGTCTTTGCCATTCTGCAGGGAATAACAGTGTTTGGACATGGCGTGGCGACCTCTGCTGGATCACCTGCCTGGTCACCTTGCAAGATAGTGTCCAGGTGTCAAACTTTATGCATGAAGCTATATTTCAAAACATTTCAATAAATAAATAAATAAATAAATAAAACAAAACAAGCATTGATTGGTGATTTGGAGCACCACCATACCCTTGACAATGAAAAACTCACACCTGTGTAGTAGTTGAACTGCAGAGGAGTGTTTTTGGAGATAAGTTGTACGTGTCTTTCTTGTTCTGACAGGCCCATTATTAGGTCCACCTTCTGTAGTACATAGACAGTGAATGTATGGTACTCACACATCCGCCATGATTGACTCCCTGTCTGCTGTTCCCTTCACCTTGTTTAATAGCAAGTATCACGATTACCCTCGGAAACCGCACCTCTCTTTTGTCTTCCTCCTATCTCCGCACGCTGGCTCTGCTCTCATTTGTGGACAGCGCTTTGTCCTCCTGGCCATTTTCATTCTAGCCATCTTCCCCTTACAGCTTTCTCTATACTTCTTTTGTAGTTACAAGTCATGCAGAAAATAACAGAAATACTTCAAGAATGTCTGAAAGCAGAGAAGAAATCCGTGATACACTTGGGTTTAAGGCTAGAGAAAATAATATTCCTCTTCACACCAATAGTCCACCTATAAAAGCTTATAGG